AGACAATTAATTTCGGAATAAGACCGAAAATAATTCATAATGTCACAGGAAAGAATCTTGCACATGGATCAGTAATACACACGTCAATCATCAATGGTTCGCTTCTTATTAATAGTTTCAATCGATTTTTTTTCACGATGAGTATCGTCTATGCTCTTCGCGTATGAAAATTTTTTAATTAAACAATAAAGAGAAAGATAATATTGATTCTCTTCACTGTGGTTCTATGGTGTAGCGGTTAGCACTTTGGACTTTGAATCCAGCGACCCCAGTTCAAATCTGGGTAGAACCTCTCGTTTTTTTTTCCATACTTTTCGTCACATTTTTTTCCTCTCATATAGAAAGAAAGCATTTGGTCATGTGCTTTTCTTTTTTTTCAAAGAATGTGACATGAATGCCAACGATTCTGTGCAGATTTTCACTAATTACTTGATTTTTTAATTTGATTAATGAACAAAACGAAAAAAACAAGAAAAAAGAAAAGCTTTATTGATCCAAAAGAGCAACCAATTAGTAAGTCGTGGGATTTAGCTGTGGCTCTGATTTTTCTTTTAATCCACATCCTAATGATGAAATCTGTTTCTGTCAAGGTAATTCTAGTTTCAAAATTTATGATAGCAATTTGGTATTATAATACGGTCGATCTACAGTGTTTTATTTGACTTACGATAGAATGCATATTCCACATGATAAAGACGTTGAATTTCAGTGCAAGGTTAATGACAGTATCATAAGTCCTACTTTGGAACAATGGCAAGTATGTGATTTAGATCTTGATATTATTGTTCATACAGCGTCCGACATTCAAAATATCGCTTAATAGAATCGCCATATTTTACAAGGGACGTCATGAAGTTAGTGACGATATCCAAATCCATGAGTCGTCATGCTTAGATCTATCTCTTGTTTATTAGTATGTTTATTAATCCATACGCAAAACATGATTCGACCTGTAAATAAGCATACAACATCTGCTTGATTTTTTGACTCATAGACGGGTGATAGGCTTTTATGGATTGACCGAACCTGTTGAATAAATTGTTCTTTTCTTAAATTGAATTCTTTTGTTGCTATTCTCTTGCCATTGCCATTTTCGATTCAGTCTTATCGAGTGAGGCAAAAGGCATGGATTTTGAGTTCAGACAAACAGTAGAATGTTGGCTTTCATTGTAACGATGCAAAATTAAATTCTCTGTCTAAGTCACAATATTCTGTTCCATTTGTTTTCGCTAAAGTTTCTATTGATGAAATAAAATGAAGCATGTATGTCATATTGCTGTTTCCCACAAGAAGAGTGAAAAAAAGTAATGATGCAAAATAATCAACAGAAACATGCATTAAAATGGGCACAGCGACCGATCTATTTGATGAAAAGATTACTTGAATTAAGAATTTAAGAAAAAGTTGAAGAACGATCACTAAGTATTTCAAACATAACGGATTAAAGGTTGCTCGAATGATGAATATATTCATTTTCCGTATCAATTTAACGAATCTGTTTAAATAATTTTATGTTTTCCACTACGAGATGTGGGATGTGCGTATGGGCGAAGGGAATTTCCAAGCATTTGCAAACACCTACATCCTACATAGACATTTTTCGTCATTTTGCATTGTTCTACAAACTGTCAAGCAATCTATTGAGATATTTAGAAAATTGCATAAACAGAAGTTTATTATTTTTTTTGAACAATTTTGTTCTAATCAACCGAGTAATGGATAGCTGATGATTTCAAAGGTTTGTTTCAGACAAGACTTTTCAAACAAACATTAGCATGTATTCAAAATCATAGTATTGACGAAATCGATTACTGCAGGTCTCACAAATGAATCAATGAATTTAATCAAGGAAACTGTTTTTATAACCAATATAATTCCAAAAGCCACAATCATTCTTCAAATAGTTTTGGCCAATTTGAAGAGGATCTTGAAAGTCTATATACGTTTCATTTCCAGTCATCATACGTGGCCATAGTACAAGGACCTTTAGAGGCTTATTGGGATTTTCACTCTTTGCGAAATTAGTCCAATACGTAGTCATACTTTGAGATACACGATGGCCAGCATCAATAAAATTGTCCTGATGTGATTCGAAAGTAAACGATAGTTAATCACTATGACAAGCATGATTACTGCCTTGTATCGGATCCTTTGATTTATCCTGTTGAATGGATAACCGAAAACGTAACAATACGATGCGGCTTTACCAACAAAGACTCGTATCGAGCAAGCACATACTCATTGTATGGCTGCATGAGATAGTAATGATCGCTAATCATCCTAACCATCCGTCGGATATTGTTTGATAACTTTGAATGCATGTTCTTGAAAGATGATCAAACCTAATCCTATATATTCACTAGGTGACAATGGTTTGTTCCATGTACCGTAAACAAAATTCAGACTTTCCTCCATGACTGTACCGATGATAAGTGACTTTAGTGGAAATGATACATTATGGATGATATCCAGAAGTTGACCATGAACAATCGCATTGTCAATAACAGGTGTTCACGATTCGAAAAAGAACAGAACATTCAATGAAGTAAGCATCTTATACAGAACGTTTTGAGCAACAATGATTTCGTTCGTTGAACGGGTTCGAAAGCATGCCACATTGTTGATGGTATCATGAAGTTATTCGGCAAGAAGAGCACCGAGAGGGACATATTCCAAATATATTCCATATTATATCGAACAGAATCTCTCATATTGTATTCTCATTTGATTGTACTACTTACTTAAATTGAATCGTCATAGGTGAGCTTTGACTGATAGCTCGCTGGAAGAAGTGATGCATGTCATTCGTAACGTAGTGCGCAGCAGTAAATTGAGCACCAGCATTTTGACCAAATAGTGTAAACTAGACAAAGAATGATTGCAATAGCAATATATGGAATCGTCATATTTGCTCGAACCTCATTTGATTTTTTTTCGAATACATCAATATTGACTTTTATGCAAGTAACAGTCAAGCGTTGATAGAGTATACGATAGTCATCTTTAAAATTATTGGGACCTTTTTCGGTCGCCAAGAAGCCATGCACACTTGTTTTTCTTACGTTCTCATAGAAATACATTGTCAGAAGATCAGTAGTCGATACTTATCGAGTCGATATTGAATCAGTGCTACTATTACATTTGTTATATTAACCATATGTTCAGATTCGAAGATCGATTGGGAAACATCGTAAACTGGAGGTTGCCAGCATGAATAAAGATCATTACTGGCAAAGGATTTTCTGATGATGAATGCCTCGGAATTCATATGAATAAATTCAAATATAGACAATCTTCGGATACATATTATTCAAGAGTTGATAATTTATAGAAAAAAAGGTCATGTTTAATTATATGTTGACAAAAATATTTATAGTATTTGCAGTGAAAGTAGAAGTCATCGGACTTATTGGTTGAGAACAAGCAGACCTTGGCCGTGTGACATTGATTACTTTGGGATGCCATTTCGTGATAGATACTGGAGGTTGCCATCTACAATGAGGCAAATGCGCTATATGGAAAACTATCAACAACTTTAACTAGAACTACTTCAATGCATCAATAGGTGGTTGAGCAAATGAAATGTCATAGAAGGCTGTGGGTGTGGTCGTAGTTGAACCGAAGACTCACACCAACACGCACACTCCACACCCATCTCCTGCAACACGATCCATTGTTTAACTTATGTTTTCGTTGATTACTTTTATCTTACTACAAGGAGTTCTTACAGACAGTATATGAAGAAAGTGAAACAAACAGAAAAGGTAGAAAATGCTAAGTGTTCGCCAGCAACAGCAATAGAAAAAATCTTTTTTTTTTTGCATGAAAAAAATAATCGACGAAACTCGAAAGTGCGATGTTTCAATGTTCTTTATTTGATTTTGCTCTCCAACAGTGGCAAGTAAAAATGAAAATAAATAAGCAGGACAGAAATACTCGCCATGTGATGTACATAAAGGTGAATGCGCTGTAAACGTGAGTTATCTAGAAAGAGTAATATTTGTTGATAAGGACTGCAGTTAGTTCGAGACGATTCTACAACAGTTATTTCGTCTTCTTGAGGACAAACAAAACATTTTCCCCATTAAATAGATATGATATCGTCTCTTCTATATTACTGGCTATTTTCATTTAATAAAGGCAAAATAGGATTGGTTTCAGTATGTGCAGACCATCTCGAAGTGTATTATCAACACCCTTCGATCATATATATTCTCTCGAAAGAAGTTGATTGTGAATTTTTTTAAAGGGAACATTAACGTCGTGAGAATGCTGGACCTTGCAGCTGAATATTTTCTTTTGACCTGATTTTTATCTCATCTAAACTGAGACTTATGATAGATAAAATATCCCAAGAATATTCTCTTCATTTTGTAGCATTTACAGATATATCAACATCAGAAACAAGACGAATTGTGAATACTATCTTACATTGTAAGGTCAAGAGTGACAGTTAGAGTTGAGCCATCAAAAGTGAACGATATGTTCGAGAGAATTTTTTTAAACTGGGTGAATTTTTAAACGTTTAAGACATACACAAAATACATGAATATATGCTACCAGAAACAGATCAACATTTCTATTCGCATTTATTCGTCCTCTCTCTTAACTATCAAGTGCTTCAATCATAGTTTCATGTTGAATATGGTTAATTGTAGAAAATCATTTTGATTCTTCTTTTGCAGAAAAACCACGGCTATTGGAATTGTCTTGTAAACCAGAAAATAAAATGGGTAAGTATTAACGTTTTTTCGCACACTATTAGACAAGTGTATAGTTGCATTTGGCAGTATGCATCAAAAGCTTTAATACAATACATTTTATTAACTAGTCGGAGTGCGAGTATTTTTCCTTTATTAGAAAAATCGTGGCTCAAGTGCCAGTTTCATGATATCGATCAAACATCTATCAAGAAACCCGATGAGTTGGGAATCACTAAAACAGACTATGCTTCATTAGAAAACATCGATGATGATATAGTGGATCGTATCCAAGGTTCAATGTTTGGTTTGGTAGTGGGCGATGCTCTTGGAGCTCACATGGAATTCAGACCTCATAGTTATTTGGTTGCTAATCCAGTGAAGGGCCTAGTAGGAGGAGGAACATGGGGTCTACAACAGGGACAAGTAAGAACTCTAATATAGGACGTCTATAGCGTTTTGCTTTTGTAGTTCACTGATGATACGTCCATGGCACTTTGTTTGGCAATTTCCGTAATTGCTTGTCAAGACTTTGTTCCATACGATCAATTGGTTCGCTACAAATGGTGGTATCGGAATGGCTACATGTCATCAACTGGTCATTGTTTTGACATTGGAGCGGCCACAAAATATTCTATTGAAGAGTTTGAAAAGCGCCAAAAACAGTTTGCAAAAGCTCATAATATTCCTTTAGATCAAATAGACTTTTTGTCTGACCGTGATCTCCTTCAAGCTTTCGATGTCAAATGCAGTAAAGAAGGTGTGGCCGGCAATGCGGCTTTGATGCGTCTCGCACCTGTTCCCATTTTCTTCTTTCGAGACAAGAAAATGGCCGTTGAATATTCTGGTATTAGTGGCATAATCACTCATGGAGATGACAAAGTTTATGATGCTTGTCGTTATTATGCAGCTCTCATTATAGCTGCTCTTAATGGTGCAAAGAAAGAGGAATTGACTAGTAAAACATTCTATGATGATCACTTGGAATGGTTCGGCGGTCGAGGCCTTCATCGTGATATCATGGATATTGCTTGTGGATCGTACCAAAGATCAGGTGGTTATGAAGATGGAATTCGAGGAAAAGGTTACATTGTCAATGCTCTGGAAGCAGCTTTGTGGGCATTTTGGAGTGATGAAGACTCATTCGAGAAAGGTGCACTTAATGCAGTTAATCTGGGTGATGATACAGATACAACAGCAGCTATCTATGGTCAGTTAGCAGGTGCTTATTATGGATACAAAAGGTTGCCAGAAAAATGGTTGAATTTTATCTATGCTAAGGATTTCATTCATTGTCTTAGTAGCTGGATCGCTTATGAAGGGAGAAATTGGTTTAGCAGTAAGATAGTTCCAGATAGAAGTGAACTAATCAATTCTTCTGGTTACATTTCGTCTAATTTTGACCATAATTTCTCTATCATCGCAGCAGACGACTTACATGAAAGTCTTGAAAGCACATTTGTTCAAGTCATAAGTCCTAGTGCAATAGTACGCAAGGCAATCGGTTCCTCTGGTCGTTTAGGACATCTTTATGACGGATGGCGAGAATGTATAATAGAATCGCCCAGCATCAATTTCAATGTCAAGGCAGACTATTCGTACCCATTGATGAAGTGTGTGATAACTAGTGGCGACAACATTGAAAATCGAAATGTTCTTCGACTGATTGATTTTGCGGCTGATCTTCGATTGAGTGTGTCATCGAACTTGGTGGTGCCGATGGGTATTGCTTCGATCGTGGATTATCCATTTGAGATCAATAAATGTACTCGCATTTTTTATTATTCCTTCGTGGTTCGACATGAAGCTTTATTTGAAGAGAAAACCATTCCACAAGAAATCTGCACCACACCCGCCACTCACGTCATCACCGCAATAGATCGAGGTATCGATGTTGTGGTTCTGTTAAGTTTACCTTTTAACGATTTCAAGATTATCGATGACAGCCTCGATCAAATGTGTCAATGCTTGAAGGATGAGACGCAACTAACTATTGATGAGCATGTACTGACCCGAATTCTTTCTACATTTGTGTATTCAAACTTGCCTGATTTAGCCAAGCAGACAAGAATAATTGATGTATATCGAGAAATCTGTACAATCAAAAGTACTCCAGCTAAACATCAACCATGTAACTATATTCTTAGTCCTATCAGCATGTTTTGTCCGGATAACAATCAACAGTACACGAAATTTATTCCAATAAAACCAAGTATCACTACAAAAATTGAAGACCACTGGCTTCGATTATCATCCTTCTTGAAATTATGGACCACATTTCTAAGTGATACAACATTCCATTTGTGGCAAACTGATCTTAAGGAACAGTTCGACGAGATGCATGGAAAATCCGTAATATTAATGAATCAGTACGAAAAAGAAAAAAAAGAAAGTCGAGATTTGATTCCGCTTATTCGTCAAGGCACACGGTCGCAAGAGTCTATCGAACAAGACTTACAGATCGAACAAGAAGAACTGAAGTTGAATCACAGCATCGGGGATTTGAAGATTGATATGAGAGCTTTGAAACAGAAACATAGTTTTATCGCGAACTTGAAAAGGCAAGGGTTTGATTATGTGAAGGCGGAGACATATGATATTAAACAAGGTGATGATGAAAAAGTGATCCAACATAAGTTGAATAAAGATAGTCGACGGCAACACATCATATGCTCCAATGACACTTTAAATGGAAGCAATTGGTCGGCACTACAAGAGATATGTACGCAAATGGTTCATGAGCGCAACATCGTCTCCGACTTGAATCTAGTTTATGTTGATTTTTCTTACTGTTCATACGAATTGGATACTATAAAATTGTTTCCATCAACAAACTACAGCCCAAATCCAAGTTTGTTAGACCATTTCATACTGAAGAAGAAAGAATTCCACCAGAATGCATGGAAGCCTTATACAAATCAGATGATCAATATTGTTCTCATAGGTAAATCAGGTGTGGGAAAATCGACGTTAATTAACACAATTGCCAACTGTCAGAAGTTTAGTACATTTTCAGAAGCACAATCGAGTAAATCTACCCTGCGTCTATTTGTTTCATCCATCTTTCAACTAATGTTGAACGAAGAACAACATTTTCTTCAACTTGGCAAGAGCGATCCTAATGAAGTTCATGATCATCCTGGTCAATCTATAACTCAACGTTGCAAATCGTATGTATTCGATGTTGGAAATAAGCAAAAATTACGTATTATTGACACGCCTGGCTTTTGTGATGTACGTGGTGAAGCTCATGACAAGATAATGACACACCACATAATATCATACATCTCAAATGTAACGCATTTGAATGCCGTCTGTGTTGTGATAGAGTCAGGTGACTCGAAACTCACTGCCTACCAGCAGTGTTTGACTCCATTGCTTAATTTCATGGGGCAAAGAGCGCATAATAATTTACTATTTTGTTTCACCAAATGTCTTTCCAATCCAATACAACAGGATGAAAGAAAAAAGCGAGCTGAAGAAGTGCTCCAATTACTTCCTCCTGGGAACATCCCTTTGAAACCGAACAGCATATTTTACTTTGACAGCACTTTCTTTCGTCATTTGGCTACATCCAGTTTGATTGGTCGTGAAGAGTCAGAATGTCAAAAGAGCTGGTTAATTTCAAAGCATGAAGTGGACCTACTTCTGAAGAATGTTAGTCATCCCGACCGCCCATATCTCTTACATCAAGGAATACAAAGAACAGAATATGCGCGACTCGAAATTCTTCAGCTGATTCGTCCAATAATGGAAGCAACACGAAATATTTTTCGAAATGAAATTTTATACAAGCTGAAGCACCCACATAAATTTATTGAGCTCTGTCCGAAATCTATTCAACAATCGTCCGCTATCTGCTATTCTTGCCAGCGTGCTATTTGTCAATATGACAGCTTTTGGATCACATGCGATTCATTCTACGAGCACCGAATTCCATGTGAACATTGTTCATGTGATCGAAAACAGCACGTTCGAGTCGACTATGTACTTGATTATAAGTTAGTCGATAAAGTGGACTATCGGCTAGATGAGTTGAATGCTTGGAATGTCGAACTTTTTTCTGCGTATGTACGCTTCGCTCATTTCCTTAAAAACATTGCTCACCATTCCGCGAATGATCCATTCTTGACTAGTATCAATCGAATGATCGACGAGGAGAATTACATTTGTAACAGTATACGTAATCACGAAGTCAATTCACAATTACATGAGAAACTTGTGAAACATAAAGTTGCTTATGAACGAAGCGTGAGAAGCACGGAAAAAAATCATATAAACGATGATTTGATGACTATTAACGAATGGATCGAACTTATCCAAGATATTCCTATGGTACGAAAACAAATGAATGTCGTCAAAGGAACCAAAGATGCTTCTGCCTAAATGTGTTGATACTACGTACCACTAGTAGTGTTTATCAAGACTTTTTCGAACCTATAATAAATCTATTTTTCGTATTCTGTATTCTTTTGCGTCATCATATGCCTAAGCTCGGTTGCAATAGATTGTCTTAGTAAACAATGCGAAAATAATGAGACAAAATATCATATGAGCTTTTCATTTAATTGATTGAGAAAATAAGCTCAAATAGCTACATGTGTGTGTGAGGTAATGTCTAGACTTTGGGGTGTGAGTATGTAGTGGGTATGGATGTGGGTATAAGTGTGTAGGTGTGGGTCTACCATTCATCTATACCCACACTTTGACATAATGTTCTTAAGTGAAGCAAATAGATTGGTAGAAAAGCAATAAAAAATGCGAATATTTTCAAGATGACTAAATTTCACAGCGCGCCCATCAACTTTAAAAATAGTCATAATTTTGATCAATTCATTTATTTGGCATGTTTTTAAATAAATTAATTTAAAACATCTGAAAATAAATCGTAAATTTATAAGAATCAAAGTTTGGAGTTCCACATTTTGATTCCTCTTCGGACCACATTGAAACGGTTTTTTTTCGATGCGTCTGGTTTTCGAGATTTTGACTCTTCGATGTTTTGCCATTTTCCAAAGTTAATGGATGTTTGTAGATTGATGATGAATATTTCGTCATTCTTTCGAGCATTTTCTTCATTTATCCACACCCACATTCGAAAAGATCTGATTGAATCCAGTCGCGAACAAATCGTTGATATTCATCGTGATTTCGAAAGGAACCCATTTCTAATGGAAACATTATTTTATCGATGCGGTCTAATTTCGTCTTATCCAGCTTAAAACAATCACTACAAGGTTCAAAGCCCAATGACGCTGAGTGTGAATGCGAGTATTTAATTAATCAGACATCCACACCCACACCGTTTTAGTTGCATTGATGCATTATAGATACCTTATCAATAATGTTTTTCTTCTTCTCCATAGGCCGCTGTAGATATAAACACGAAATCAAACTCTGTTATTGGATTATTATAAAAACAATTGAACTTTACAAACATGTGTGTTCTATGACATTCATTTCAAACTCCTTTTAATGTATTACGATTAACATCTTTTATTACCGACAGACGCTAAAAATACATCAGGATTGACAATCTGAACCCTGTACTGTAGTTTTTTTTCTGATTTACCATGTATGCAGATCTATACCAGCTTGAGCATTTTTATTGTGTAGATATTGTGCCAATAGTTCCTATTATCATAAAATAAAATATCACCTAATTTCAATATAGTATTGTTTCTTGATTTTATTTTGTAATTGACTTTCATTTCCAACCATCAGATTAGAAGTCTGTGATATAACTCTATCAATCATAATTAAACATAATGAATTATCAGTTTATATTAAAAGTAAGATATTTTAATCAATTGTTTGATAGTGATTTTGATTTTGATAATATAATAAATTCTGTTGACGATCAAGTAAAAAATAAGTGATTGTAGTTTAACAAATAAGAAAAAAATATTTATTGTTTGGTAACATGTAGATTTTATTTGATTCATATTTAATATGTCAATACATCCCATAATTTGTTTATTATATGAATAATACAAACAATTTAATACATATTCATATGCTTGTTCTTGTTGAGATACAATAAGAATTTTTATTCAAATTATTTTTAGATATTTTTTTTTCAATGAAAAAATCATAAAAAACTCCATTTGTTAATAATAATGTTCGATAATCGTCTGGATTTACGAATTGATATGGATTGGTAAAATATTTTCATATAAAATAATAAAATTTTTTTTTTTGTTTTATTTAAATATCTAGTTGTATAATTCTCAACAAATAGTCCATAGAATTTATATTCATAAATTGATTGAAAAAAAAATTAAAATATTTTTATAACTAATTAAAATATTTAAACGTGTTAATGGTATTAAACATTTATATTTAGCATAGATAAGAGATGAATTCTTTCCTTAAATAAAAAATTTAATGAATTCTATTTTATTAAATTAATATATTCATCTAATTGAAAGAAATATTTATTATTTGTTTGATTTAATAAATAATAATTTATATCAAATGTATTTATTTGACTAAAATGACTTTTTTATTTAAATATCTATTGTTTCTTGTTTATGATTATATGTAAATGATGGTGAACCAAATGAATTATCTATATAACCAGAATAAAATGAATTTTCATAATGTCAATGAGAAAGAGATTCATCAATAAGAACAAGAAATTGATGGAATCAATCCATTGAAAATAAACCTAATAAATCATCTAAAAAGAAAGCAAACGATTTTGGATGTCTTTTCGAGAATCTCTTTATTGGCTCAAGAAAAAAGGTTAACTATTGCTTAAGTCTCTTTTAGTCTACTACAAATTATAACTTGTTAACTTAAATCCTACAAAAACTATGTATCACTTTTTAGGATCTCAACTAGGCATCTTCGATAGAATACTTTTTTGATGAAGGATATCGTTTAATATGTGTTATGAATTTGTGATATCTTGCATATGAAATTAATACATGAGCTTTTTATGGAATTTTTTTTTAATCATATGTTGACTAATATTCAATCTCGAATTCCCATGCTTAGAATTTTATTTTAAACAGCAATAGCAAATGGCTATTCTAAATTTCCAACAGGAAGTCTTTCATAAAACTTTTTTTTATAATTTAAAACTTTCGTATGGTTTATACATAGCTAATTGATTCGATCATTTCTTTTTTTTTTCTATCTTTTCATATATTTGCTCTCTTCTTTTAATTCTTTATTATTTAAGTTCGATTAATCTATCAATAAAGAAAAGGAAAATATTGGTTAAATTCACCGTGGTTCTATGGTGTAGCGGTTAGCACTTTGGACTTTGAATCCAGCGACCCCAGTTCAAATCTGGGTAGAACCTCTCTTTTTTTTTTCAATACTTTTTGTCAGCTTTTTTTTTTTCGTTCGGATAATGAAACATGGACTCCGACGATTCTGTGCACACTTGCTGTCGCTATTGTTTTGTTATATCGTTTATTTTCCCATCAAATGAGCATATAGAAATGAACTAATCGGTTTTAAATTCTTGTTGAAGAAGTGCAGTTGGATTTTTAGTCTTATTTTATGTCTACAAAAGGTTATCTTTCGGTCAATGAAAACTAATTAAACTGATAATTTTTTTCTCGAAAGCAATCAACATGGGTATTGTTCTTGAGGAATAGAATTCTTGCATCTATTGTAGTAAACGACCATGAATGTATTGAATAACTATAATGAACTTATTTTGCAAAATAAGCGAAACATTTTTTGTGAATAATAACTGAAAATTGTTCAACCGGATTATCTATACGACGAAATTTTTGTTTCTTCTCCTCCTTGAGACACTTTAAAATCGTTTCGAAATTAGATTGAAAACTCATTTCAATAAGAAATCCATTGCTCTACAAAACAGTCGACTTCGCCTTGTTTGTGAAAGTTATTTTCATTACTAAAAAAAACAAAACAAAGTGAGATCGTTGAAATGATTAAAAAAAATCATTCTATGTATTCTAGATTATTTAGTGTTTCAAGATTTGCTTCTTCATTTTTAACAGGTAATGCTTTCAGACCGACAGATCAATGACTAGTGCGTGCTTTTATGAAAAACAATATTCAACTATTGTTGAGAAATTCTTCAAATTCTAAGTAGTTTTTTGCAGAAAAAATGAATTTTTATACATTTTAAAAATTTATTTTGTACGAAATGTGCTGTTTGGATTAGCAATTATATTATACCTATTTGCCTTAGATATCAGACAATATTATTGAGCATATACTCATCCAAATCCATACTAATAATAAAATATTTTACATCAAAAGAAAGAACATTTTGTGGTTTATTCTTATGCAATCTTGTCAAGATACTTTGCATGACTGCTCAGTAGTGCACAATTTCTAACTAAAGCCATGATGATATGTTTACAATAAATTAGTGAAATTAATCTTTTTCGAAGTCAGATTCACTCTGTAAAACACATTGACTCTCATGTCGTTCGATGCAAAATTGTATTTTGAACAAAAATATCATGTTAAGAGTATGGATATTGGCATATGTAGTGTTGAATAGAATACTCATATCCAAACCCACATCGAAAAATGTCCTGTGACTCTTGTGAAAGTTCTCGTTGTTGATAGATGCCTTACGGCAAACTAATGACCAGTATATTGTTCTGTAGAGAAATATTTACTCTTCCCTTTGATGCTTTTGAAATAAATATTAATTCTACCCTAGACAGTTTTTGCGCACTAAAACCTGTTTAAACTTTATTTTCAGATCTTTCAAATGCTAACTTATAACTCCTAACCGACGAGTCACAAAAATCTCGAACTTCGATTCAGAAAGATAAAATAATTCTGATGCTAACTTAGGGTTTTAAAATGTTTGCTTGTCTTGTTAGTCGATCGAAAAATGAATTGATATTGTGTCTCAAAGCTTTCGGTTCATACATTATTAATGAAAATAATAGATGTGTTCAGAAATGTTTTTAAATATATGACGAGCGTGAAGCCTTATGAGATTAATGGGATGGAACGGAAAATTTTTCGTCTCATCCCATCCTACGTGAAGCCCTGTTGTACAACAAATCTGTGAGTTATGATAACTGACAAAATCTTAAATGAAAACTTACTAAAGTCGTCAATCATATTTATTCAGTTTTTAAAAGGAATTATGATTATTGTGGGCCAATAACTAGGACATGTCTTCTGTTTATCTTTTATCTGTTCAATGGTATGAGATCATTCGTTCTCTTCTCTCTCTCTCTCATATATAAGGTCGTGTTCTGTATAAAGTAGCTACAAGGGGAGTTATAGAGTAGTGTAGTGAATATCTATACTGTGGGTGATGGTAACGCTAATCCTCTAGTTTGCCAATATTGATTAAAATAAAATATGCAAGGCACGGGTCACCAAGGAGATCATTCATTTCCATCTTTCTCATATTTCATTACACATTGTTTTTATCTAAAATATGTGATACTAAGTATAATAAATTTTTATTAATGACAAAGCATTTTAAACAAGAGTATAATATGCAAGATTTATCGAAAGCCTTGGTTTTTTATAACATTTTAGCTGTACCTATAGAAAACGAGACACAAGTAGACTGATCCAGTGTGGATGATTAATACTCATATTCTGATATACTGCTAATGGTAATAAACTGTACATGTAATTATGATTATTTTCTCTGATAAACAAATCTTTGCGACAGACAGCATTATACTTTATAACAATGTTTCTATGCCATATTAGTCATAAGAGAATTTACGAATGACGAAGACGAAGTAATATTGTATCTTGCTTTTGCTTCTCAACAGATGTTGTGCAATAAATAATATGCCCAGGGAAATATCCCATCAGATATGTGTTAATAGAGAACAAGACTCTCATCTATAAATACGAACAGTTGCGTTGTGTACAAAACATAATTTATCTATTTGAAATGGGAAATCTTTCTATTGAAATCGTTGTTTTACTTCTTGCAATTTCGACAATTACAAGTCACACTGATACAACCAATAAACGGCCAATATCTGCTAAAAATGTTGGTTGTCGTCGATGTCAAAAACCAAATATTGACCAACCATTATGCTTTTGTGGGAAAAATAACGTAATGTTTAATTGTCTTAAAGGAGATCGTTGTATCAATGGAGAAGTGGTTCCAAGAGGAAGTCAACCGAGGTATGGGAATTTGAAAAATTGAAAAACTGTCAAATAAACTTTATATCATAAATGAATATGTTCCAAATACAACTAATTCAATTTTTAGTAATATATCAAAACTCATTGGCCTTCGATTATCAACAAAACGAATTCATCAATCTACTCGTGATGATAAAAATAATACTCAATGCATAGGACTTCGATTTAAACGAAGACCGGATGAAATCAATGGAGTATATGTACCACTTCGAAGTGTATCGGTTGAAGCTTGGATTGATTCTTTTGCTGCCGACGTCACTTTGACCCAAGTCTTTGTTAATCAAGAGAAAAATGCTATTGAAGCAGTTTATGTATTTCCTATTGAGGTATGTTACCGAGATATTGATTTTTGTTAATATTAACTGTAAAAAAAAAGAATTCATAATTGAAATTCATATGTATGTATATATATATATACATTAAGTCATGAAGAAACGGCGAAAGCTTTGGACTCGAAGTCTTGAAGTCATACTTTGTAAAATATAGAGAAGTCCTGTGAAATCACTTGAAGTCTTTGAAAAATACAAATGTAACAGAAACGATTTTAATTGAGTTCAAATAGAAGCTTTTATTTGCAGGAAAACGCTGCCATTTATTCTTTTACTGCTCAAGTTGACAATCGAACAATTACTGCTGTGTTAAAAGAAAAGAAAACAGCAGAAAATGAATACCAATCAGCTGTACAACAAGGTCAAACAGCAGTCTTAATGCGGCAAAGCAAAGAAACGTTTGACACATTCACAGTGAGTAATTAATAAATATGTTTAAATTAAATTATTATCATTTTAAATGAGCAAAACAATATTCATATCTATATTTAGGTTAATGTAGGTGCTTTAGCACCTGGAAAAGAATGTCGCGTCATCATTAAATATGTAACTGAATTAGATTTAATTGATGGAAATTCTATTCGATTTGTTGTTCCTACTACTATCGCTCCACGATATAATCCATCGCTGGGTCATCTACAATCTCCTGATGGCACACAAGCTAAATATGTTCAAAAGACTCCCTATTCAATGAAGTTTAAAGCACATGTTCTTCGAGGTGAAGAATGTAAGTAGATATCTATTGATCGAAATTTTTTCTTTTAAAGTAATACGTATAATTTTAGATCCAATTCGACAAGTAGCTAATCTTTCACATCCAGTAAATGTTACTATATCATCTAAATCAATTGATGTTTCTTCAATGGCAATTGCTCTTGATCGTGATATTATTCTGGATATTGATTTACCCGATAATCGACCGTCGACACGTGTTGCTATCGAACAATATAATGATTCTTCAAACTATGCAGTTCTTTTAGCATTTACTCCACGTCTTTCTGATTTCATTAAAATTTCTGGTGGGAAAGATGAGCTTAATACTGAATTTATTTTTATTGGTATAGTTCAATCAAATTCTTGAAAACTAAAACAATGATTTATTTTTGTTTCTTTAGTGGATTGTTCAGGTTCAATGTCAGGAGAAGATGGTATTGATCTTGCACGAGAAGCTATGCTTCTCTTCATACGTAGTTTACCAGTGGGCTCTCATTTTAATATCATTCGTTTTGGATCGAAATTTGATATTCTTTTCAAAAATGAGACTTTGACAACTGTCTATGATGAAAAAACTGCTGAAGAAGCTCAAAATCTTACACGTTTAATGGAAGCCGATTTTGGTGGAACAGAATTATTGGAACCTTTGAAGCATTTGAAAAATCATCCACCAACTAAGGGTCGGTCAAGACAAATCTTTTTGTTGACAGATGGAGAAATTTCAAATACAAATGAAGTAAGATATAATATGAGATATTTAATTATTGTATATTACACATTTAAAACTATTGTTATATGACAAACAAAATAATATGTTGCTATGGAAATCAATAGTCAAAGTTCTTCTTTATTTTTTTTTTTAGGTGATTGAACTATGTCGTTCGATGTCTTCAAATACAAGAATATTTTCTTTTGGTCTTGGTCATTCGCCATCTCGTTCTCTAGTTAAAGGTCTTGCTCGTGCAACCAATGGTTATTTTGTTTTTGTTCCTCCAAAATCGAAAGTAGATGTATACGTTGGTAGTCAACTTGGTCGAGCTCTTCAACCTTCATTAGTAAATGCTCGACTCGAATGGCATGGATTATCTACAAATGTATTGCAAGCGCCGAAAACGATTCCACCTCTTTATATAAATGATCGTGTCTTAGTTTATGAACTATTAGAAGGCGATCAGTTGAAAACACAAAATATCAGTGTAGATCTCATTATTGGAGACCATAAAATTAATTCGATTAAGTTATTCAGTAATAAAGCACAAAAGAGAGATATCATACGTCGATTAGCAGCTAAAGCTTTAATACAAGAATTACAACATGAAAAATCCAACACACGAAATTCAGAGTACGTATAAAAAGTTAAAGAAGATTTTTTTTCAAAACGGGACTCAAATCATTTGACTAGTTTAATTGATTTTTGTTATTGATTTGTTTCTTTTTTTTACTATGATAGGAACAACTCGACGCTTGAACAGCGTATTACTACATTATCACTGAATCATCAGATATTATCGCTCTACACAGCTTTCGTCGGTGTAGAAACTACCAGTCCAAAAAACAATAATACTCATTCGGTAGTTCGTCATGTACCTATTCAAGTAACGAAAGGTGATGAACATATATCGTTTCCTCAATGGTCATCGTATAGTAATCGTCACCGTAGTAGCGGATCAATGTCTTCATCTTACGCAGGCAGTGTAGGGCCAATGGGAACGAGGTTGTCACATTTATCTTGGGGCCATCAGAATTGGAACGGGATGCCGTCATCTTTCTCTGGTAGCGGCATCGGTACGCACGGCATTTCCAGTCACTTCAGATCGGCCGGCAACAGGAATCCGCCAAATCGGTACGTTTAAATGTGTCACTTAATCTCGTAGTTCTTTTGAGAAAAAGTGTATTGGTTCAGCCCCACACTAAGGCATACAATGTGAAATTCATAACTTTTGGAATTCCTAATAGTAGCAACTTGTATTTTAATTTGTTGCGTTTCATATACGCTAATACTAAGAATAAAAGGAGAATTCTTTCAAAACTCACCATCTATTAGCTTCCAACAACTGACATAGAACAGCATCTTGTCTTTGTTTATCATGATTTTCTCGAATAAATATGTAATTTCTTAATAAGAATTAATAATATTGATGTTTTTTTATTTTAAATCATTATTGAACACATTTAGAAAGCTTCTTTATTCGTATAAGGCTACTACTTCCGTTAGAAGAACGAAATGAGCTATCAAATTCGATTTTTATGCTAGCCTTATATTTTTAGTTTCCTTAATACCTAAATATTTTCACAGTTTTATGAAGTAAAATTTGACTTAACTTTAACAACAATATACAAGCTTTTCTGATATGTATGTAACGATCGTACAAATTGAAACTATTGATCATCGAGAGTTTCTGAGGATCAGTTAAAAACAATGCAAAAAAAGTGAGCCCCAAATTTAAAGATATAAAATCTTTAGTTCATGCTAAATTTAATTTATAATGGCTGCATAACGTTCCATGTTCATCATCAATACACTCAACATATTTCGAGGTTCATATTGTACTATAAGAAAATATAAATTCAATACTTAGTGCCGGTATTTAGATGAAAACTAGAAACGTTTTGATTGATAACATTCGCACTCATATTTTTGAACTACGAAAATTGTGCAAATCGATCAGTTTTAAAAGTTCAACCGAACTGGACCGGTATTCGGCAAACCGGCCGGTCCGATTCTAAGACTGAACTAAGCCTGTAAGTATTTCTGCAGTCATTCTACGACAAAATATTAACTTCCTTTTAGAAAATTTTGAATCTTTGTTGATAAAAATAAAAACAAAATTTGAAACAGTGTGTTAAACAGATAGTTGTGATATTTGATTGACCTTGTCATTTATCTTTTCACAGAATCTATTAGAATACTATATTGAAAATTATGTATTCAATGAGATACATAGTTGCCTAAGCTTTCATCAGGATGGATTTATGTGTTTCAAGTTTATTCTATTGTTCTAACTTAACTTTTTGTTTTTATTTTGTAATAGATACAAACTGAACAAACAACCAGTCAGACATTCGTGGAACTATGAAGATACCGCATACGATTTAGAACTTGATTCAGAACTTGATTCAGAACTCGATTCTACCACTACCATCACCGAATTATTGTTTAATGATCCTGTTCGCTGGTTAATTGGTCAGCAATCATTCAATGGAGCGTGGTTATTAGAAAAAGAAAGCATTGAAAAGTTAACCAATGGCAAATCGTTAAGCGCATTTCAATCTAATATAACTCAATCTAAGGACGCTTTAACAACAGCACTAGCAATCGCTGTACTTGAGTTGAAATATGCCGATCAAAAGAATCTTTGGTATGGAATAGTCGAAAAAGGACGCAAACATCTCTATGTTTACGGCCTAAGCAACAACCAAGTTAATACACTTATCAATGAAATTAAGAACAAATTATAACATTTTAATGCTTTTATTATATGTAGTTAGCAAGATCCTTTTTGCTTGAATAAAATACATAGTTACAAACTATTTTAAAAAAGGTAGAAACATACAAGGTGCATCAATTTTACGAGAGAATTTATTTCTTTTCAAACGAAATGAATTTCTGCAATGCTTCATAGAAAACAACATACACATATTCAACTTCAATCATTTTCACTAGATAATCAATTTCTTAAATACATTTGCTTTTGCTGAAAATTTCAGGGTATTCTAATGGTCATTAGATCTATCCTTAGGCAAAATTTTACAGAGAAATTTTGTAATGTGATTTTCCGGCGAAAACCTACGCATAGGCTGAAAATTCAGTAAATCGATCATAACTCTTAATCGATAGGACATGGGCACGAATCCTTTTAGGTTTTTCTTAGTCTCACTCAAATCTACCTAGAGTCAACAGATTGAGTCAAAAGCTCGAAACCAATTTGGGAACTTCCCCTCGTTAATATTCCATGAAGCAGATTAATTAGTATCAGCTTTCAAGAATTCATTAAACAAAACCTTGTTTTCCATACCATAAATATGTGTTAACTATGACTTATGACTAACGTTGTATCTCAACATTTTCGTTGAGGAAGAGACTATCAGTTACGATGGGATATTTTCTCATCTAATCTTCGTTTCTCATTTCATTGGACAGGATTTATCATACGCGCTGATAAAATTTTTCGATATAAATCTACTTAATAAATAGATTATATGCAATATAATGTCATATATGTTCTATGAAGTTCAAATTATGAAATAATCGGGTGTGTGGGTCTTGTTTTCATCCACATCTACACTTACTCCTTCACTCAAGTAGTGCTATTATTCGTTCAAGTTAATTCTATGTCGGTCCACGCTTTACAGATCAAGAAGTATGTAATTATTTGAGCTAGGAAAAGATGTTCTAAAAGGAAAAAAGAGACTATGCGAGACATCATCGGCAATAGCATTACCATTAGCTCTTTTCAAAACTTTCGATACACCATTTTAGTAGCATTAATATATCTTCTATGAAAGGAATACTGTACCCATGAGTTATATCTGCAGTTTTTTTTTATAATGAATGAGTTTGCATCGTCAGTTAATAAGATTAAATATATTCAAGTCAGGTTAAATATCTCACCACCAAACTTAAAGATTCCAAATATAATAGCTGTTGATGGCTTGCGCGAATCAAGATATTCGAATTTTAAGGTATTTACAATGTATGCAGATGCTCACAACTTACAATTTAAACAGGCTGTGATAATGAGTTAATATATTTTTAAGTGTACAGAAGAGCGTACAGGCATTCATTATGAGCTCTTGATTAACTATAGTGATAATGTGACATGTTTAAATAAAGATATCTGTCGGCCATTACTCGTCAATTATAAATGTGAATGTCTATTTGGCAGTTATGAACAGCACTGGGAATACTCAGCAAAATGTTTTGCATACATTGCTATCATTGTCCTATTAAGTGTTGTCACTTTTATCATCGTACTTATTGTACTCAAATATAGATTTAACATTGATTCAGTTGGTAAAAAACGTGATCCGATTCGTCGTAAACGATCTTTGCTCAAAAGAACTAATGGTGAGACAAGGAAACCTCTAAATACATTGCAATTACGATGTGTGAACAAAGTATCACCTTTTCATAACGTTAATAAACGAATAATTAATTAAGACTTTTATAAACTCGATACTGTTTTCTTTTCCCATTATATCAATGAGTTAATTAGTCTATTGGTTGTGTTGTCTTCATATGTGTAAATATCTATGTCAAATAAAAATAAACGAATAAGAAATGGTTGGATTAAAATCATCATCAGTATTCACTTTTTTTATTTTCTTTGACTAAATAGATGGTAAAAATGTAAAACCAACCGTTTTGTTTGTGAACTTTGCTGTGAATGTTCATGAAAAGTAGAGCATCACTCGCGCACATCCCATATCCACACTCGTCATTTTCATAGTTCTACATTTAGTTCTTTTAGAAGAAAAAACTAGATTGTTTATCGTCAGAAATTCATGTGATAATAATGTTCAATTTCTCAAGAGTTTTTTAATAGAAAGAACGAAAGTATAGGTAGGAAGTAAGAATAAGAGTCAATGAGAATTTTTGAATTCACAGCTTTCTTCTCGTACACTTCGAATAAATCTCATTTTGTTACTATTCATTGAAAACAAATTCAACTTAAAATATATTGTGATTTACTTTTTTCTAATTAATAATTTTTGATTGTATACAGATTTTAGATGTTTTTTTATGGATTTTAAGAAACATATTTGAAGTCGAAATTGCCTTCAATCAATCAGAAAAAAAATTGATATTGTTGAAATCTTATTGAAAATAGATTTCACATGATTCAATCATGCATAAATAAATGAACTAATCAGCAATCCAATGTATTATAACTATTTTCAAATTGCAATTAGATTGACAACAGATATAATTTATTCAATCAAATTTCTCATTAACATTAAAAATAAAAAATTTCATTTTCTTTTCTAATAAATTCATATTTGTATTAGAAATAAAAAAATATTTCGATCAAACAAATAGCTTGAAACGAATTGTATTTGTTGTGATTATTCTCTTTTATATGAGTTTCCGTCTTACTTCTTAAAAAATGTTCTCAGACAATATTAATCAAATAGGAAATGTTCTAAAAAGTTCACGTAATAATGAATTTCTGACTTTCATGTAATATGTTTGCAAAAACAATAGTTTCTTCTTAAAAGCAAAACAGACGGTTTTGCTGCATTAGAGGGTGTCAGTGTCGGGAACAAAAAAAAAACATACACAGCAAGCCACTGCTATATTTAGAAGATTTGTAACCTTAAGTACCATCTTATTATAAGGCGGAGTAAAATTTTTGCAAGATCGTTCGTTTTCATTCAGATTGCCCGGGATTGACTCACACCTATTCTTTAAAGAGTCACAGTTTGCAGTGTAGCCAAAAATGGATGTGAAAAATTCGATAAACACTCTCGACATGCTCTCTGTCCTACGTAATTTTAATATTTCTACCGAGTTGTGCAATAGGTGAGATGCGTATAAAAGTGAAAAAAATACTGTGAATGATGCTTGACTCATCGTTGCATACGTTACTGACAGAGTCAACAACATTGAAGGTAAATATAAATTTTATTTCTTTTTTTTTCACACAAAACTTTTCGTTTTTTCCCCGTACTGGAAGATGGGATATTCCGAACGTACCTTTGCCGTATGTTCAGCTGTAGTCATGAGTGTACTTTTTTTTTTCAAAAGAAGTTGGTGAAATTCTACTGGTTTCTGTACATTCCTAATGAATCTTACTTCTAAGATGTATTAATATGGCTCATTGATTAAAGGCCATTTTGTCGTTCTGTATAACTTGTCGATAACATCCAACCGATGCGAGCTTAGACAAACTAAGTAAGAAAAAGCAACTATATGTGCCGTTGAGAAGCAATCGTGTTGTTGTAATCCAGTAATCAAGTTTTATTATTGAGACTAACCTTATTCACTGATACCACGATTGTAATAAGGTCATCATTATGAAAAGAAAAGAGACATAAACAAAAGGACAAATGTATATTAAGAGATAGAGCAAGATACAGATGAAATATCTTAAAAACTTTGTCAATAAGTCAAATCTACAACGGTGAAATGTATTCCTCGTCGGTGACATAGAAAAAAAATCTATCATCACATATAGTACTTTCAATTCTGTATACGACTAAATTTTATTCTAGATTGCGAATTAAAACAAATCAATTAATAATAGAAAAAATATGGCTCTTAAATCGACTCTCACATATTCATTGATAGGACAACTGATGTTAGACAGGCTAAAGCATGATATGCAAGCCAGTGAGAATGAATTGACCTATCTCCAAGAGTTAGTCAATCTCCGATTGAAGAAACGAGAAGTAAAATCACCGAAAGACGCAGGTTATATCAGTCCTTCAGTGGTGATCGACAATTTTCTCTACCAAGGCGAGTTGAAACATGCACAAAATAAAAATCTACTGACTGATCTAAACATTCGACATATAATCAATGTGAGCGATTGTCTACTAGAACATGATATTCTTGATCATTTCAATGTACTGTGGATCGATTTGGACGATAACTTAGATGTTGATATTTCTCAATATTTTGAAAAAACAAATGAATTCTTGAACTCCTGCAAGGTAAAGGGCGACAAGGTACTTGTTCACTGTCAGATGGGTATATCTCGTTCATCTTCGATTGTTCTTGCTTATCTATTGAAGTAATATTCTTGTTTGTTGAAAACTATTGCCATTGTTTCAACCTAGGTACCATCATGATTCACTGGTCAAAGCATATGATTATTTACTTGAGCGGCGCCGTTTTGCTGCCCCCAACCATGGTTTTTTATTACAAATAATTCGGTATGAGCGTAAACTGCATGAGAAAAATGAGTTCAACGAACGACAAACTATTGACGACAAACGAAATTCGATTGAAAACAATAATGCAAATGAACCTCCAATAGTTTTATCTGATTCATAATAAAAAGAAAACCAGGAGCCTCGACGAAGAGAAAACGTAAAAAACCTAGGTCACATTTATTATACATGAATAAACTCATCGTGATCAGACAACAAGAGATTAGACTTGAAAATCTATGAGAACAACACCAAGTTGAACCTTGTCATCGTCCTTACAATTGTTAGACAGTCATGAAAACTGTACAATATATATCTTATAGCTACATTCTGCCACGGTGAGCGATCACGAATGACAGGTGATACATTAAGTGCATAGTACTCCACAGTTGATGTTAACAGATCAGCTTAACTTTCTCAGCTGGTGGATAAACTTATATCTGTACAACCAATAGTAATGTATTGTAACGAATCGATTTCAATGCAATGAATACTATGTGTAGAATCTTAGAATCGTTTGATAATAGCTACGATTGAACAATTGAAGGAGTCGAATACGAAATACATCAATCAAATAAAGAGCGATGATGTTTTGCTTGATAGAAATCCTTTTTAATGCAGTAATTCGTTTATATTTTCTCTTGCGGAAGGTCGCAGGGTGGCAATTTTTTTTTACTTCAGATATAGGCGACAATTGATCCTCATTAGGATAATGTGTCTCTCTTGTATGTAACTGATTGTTAATGTACGAGTAAATTACATCCATTGACAGATTGATTGTTTGACGGAGTGTCTGCATTAATTCTAAAATCTTCATGGAACTGTGTGATTTGTGCACTGATGGCTAAACGATTATGGCATTTTGTTGACAAATGTTCGAATGGAGGCGGTTTTCAATCTCATCTTTCTCAAAATAACGAATCTGTAAAACGGCCCGAATTAAATACAAGTGAAAGAAAGGCTATATACGTATATTCATGTGCACAACTTATAAAATATCCACCATACGACTTTCAAAATCAAATTACTATGAATTATTTCGATGAAATGAATTCGCCAACATAGAATGCATATAATCATCAAAATCGAGTCCCAATTATGCGTGCACCAGTCACCGGTTAAGACTGTTATTATCAATGCAACACCAGAAAGTCTTTTTGAATGCTAAACATATCGAAGTACTTAAAATAAATACACTAGCTAAGTTCTACATTCACAAATTGCAAGTTTATTACAATATTATCGATCAGTTTCGAAACTTCATTCGTATTTAGTTGACAATTTTCGTTTGTCGTTTCACCAACATTCTACTATACCATCTGATCCGAAAAAAATACAAGATTTCAGAAAGTGACAAGCATGACTAAATAAAACACGACCTACCTTCTCATAAATCGTTTGCTTTGTATATAATAATATCATGATCTATATCTTGATGTCTACCTAAATAATTGAAATTTCTTGCAATTTCATTAATATCTAAAAGATTTTGAATATGAGCTCCTCTTATCCTGTATTCACATCCACCCGACCTACACCATTGAACACGATCAGTTTTTGATCACTTTATTTGGAGAAAAAAAGTTTCGAGGCATACAGGATAATTTGTTTTTCGTCTCTCTTGAAATCAACTTTTGAACAAAAAAACTGAAACTTTCCTTTGCTTTTCCTCTCACGCGGTACGTCGGCTTGGGCTCAATTTTTTTTGCACAAGTATTTTAGTCAGAGGGGATGCGTGATTTTTTTTGCTTCAAAACATTGTTCCCGTGAAATTTAGCAACCTCTAAAAAATTAGTACCATTGCAAAAAAAAATCGTGTTTTCAATTGTGCTTTCAGTATTTTGCTTCTTCTGAGTTCTACGAACTATACCTTTGAGCGAAAAGAAAACTTGCACTCTTATTTTCTCATGCAACGACAATTGAATCTTCGAACTGAACTTCGTTTCACAGATTTCTGAAAGTGTACACAAATCTCTGAGCAATGAATCACAAAACAACTTAGGTTGGTATTGTACTTCGTCATCAATGACCTCTCAGAGCATAAATAGAAGATGAATAAAGTGTAATGTTCAATATTAGAATGAATATTTATTAATGATCATCAAAGCGATAAAACTATATAGCAAGAAAAAGATTGACATAAGTTATTTCGTGGATGGTTCTTTTACGTGTACCTTGTGATCGTTTCGAAAGACAAAGAAAAACACAATACCGAAGATGAATGCCTCAATTGCCAGTGCAACGTACATCCACAGAATTTTCGGATCATCTGACACTGGTACAAGTGCCATATTTATGGCACTGCCGATGGCTGATGTGAATAGAAAAAGTGACATAACAATGGATTTCATCGAATGTGGTGCCTGAGTAAATGCATACTCAAGACCAGTAATGGAACCGAAGATTTCGGAGATGGCAATGAAAAAATATGCAGGAATTTGCCAAGCTACAGTAATATTATTGTATTCTTGACTACCATGAACAGGCTTGGACACATAGTTGAAATTCGGATCAGTAGAATAGATTCGATGTTGAACAATTGCTGACCATGCCATGCCGAGCGAAACAAAGAAGAAACCACAACTAATACGGGCGATAGCCGTAAAGTTGATGTTACATCGTCGCAAGCCAGGATAGATCAATTTGTCGAAGAGTGGAATGAAAATAACCAAAACGAGCGGATCGATATTTTGTAAAATATCATTGGGGAGAGGACCTGAAGCAGAAACAAGGAATCGAAGATCGAAGAGCATTCTGTTTTCTTGCTCATTTTAAAAGAAGTCACGAACTCACCGACATTCATTTGTGCAGCTTGTGATACTAAATTGGTTCCAAACTGATTGTAGCAGATCCAATACAATGGATAGAAAGCAAAAACACGACAAGCACGAATTGCTTTTTTGAGATCATCAATAAATTGATTGTGACTCGTTTTCTTCATCGTCTCTGTTTCATCATGATCGTTCGGAGATGGCATTTCTTTGGCATAATCTAAAAGATCTGAACGATCAGGTTGCTTGCCCAATCTCCATCGCATTTGGATGGCGGTCCCTGTTACACGAGCAGCACGAATGAGCAATGAACCAGATGGAGGTTTTTGTACGTATCGATCACGACCGATGATCAAGACGATGATGGCACCAACAAATACGACCGTGGGTATAAGATAGGCAAGCCAAAATGTATGATACTTTTCAATATTGGTAGTGGCGACCAATGAGAGCGCGCCTATATTAATCGCCCAATAGAACCAATTGAACATCGATTGCATCGTTCTAAAATATGAACAATATAGTTTACGAGATAAGCAGATAAACACTCAATCGACTCACACGTTTGGATCGATAATTTTCTGTTTGCCATTGATTACTATAAAGAGATAAGAAAAGAAATCTTTCTCTTCAAACAATCTTTCAGTTACCTTTGACAATCGGTTTCGTTCTAGAATATTGCTCAGCCATCAATGGACTCACATTACTCTTCACACCACCAGTACCGAAACCTATAATGATCATTGCTACGATTAAACCAGGAAAAGCGACGCCTTTATCAATAGATGGCGGTATACTAGTCAGGAGCAGCACAATAAGACCAATCATATAGATTACACATGATACAATAATAGTCTTGTATTTGCCCCACAATTGATCGGCTAGAATGGCACCAATGATCGGCGTGATATAAGCAAAGAATCGAAAAAACATTGTCAATGCAGTGGCAGTCTGCTGTCCACGATTGAGAGCACCTGGTTGTGTATCATTGCCGGTAGGTTTTGGAAATTGAATGTAATTTTGAAAGAGACCAGAGAGTCCATAAAAGGCGAAACGTTCGCACAATTCGCAAATGACAATCAGCCAGGCTGCTAATGGTATTTGATCAGAAATATGTTCCAATGTTGACATTTCTTCAGCTGTTGGTTCAATTTCATTGAAGTCATCAATTGGTTCGATGATCGTTGGTTCAGCAGCAGTTCTGCTGTTCAATTCAATATTCTCAGCTATACTCATTTAGTACTGTATGTCCCTAGACTTGTGTCTACGTTCGAACGTTACTTAATGTTTTCAAAAGTGTTGCTTCGAAGCTCTTTGAAACACGACAGAAATAAAACATTTTCTCTATCCTCTTTACATATATTGCTTGCTCTTATCTACATCGTTGAGTGTGCTTCATTCGAAAATGCACTAATAACTATTTGATATCAATTCATTTTAATGATTTTTTTGATAAACCGATCAAATAATTGCAAAAAAAGATCTATGATGAAGTAATAAGGTATCATAGCGGCCGATTTATAAAAATATTTGTTTCTACGATCGACCTTGGCAAAAAAAGCACGTCAAGAACGGTATTTACACATCGTTAAAAACTACTGACTACGCCGAAGTCAACATTCTCTATAGCATCACATATTCAGGAAAGTGTAACAACGATTATACTTCTGTAAAACGACTCCCTGAAAGAACATCAATATGAGGCAAACATGTCAGTCATTCAGTTTGACCAATCTGAGATCTTCAGGATATATTCTCCCTCGATCAGCTCATTCAATCGACTTCTGATAGATTTCGACCACGGCACTGTATGCCCCGTAAATCATTCAACAAATTGAAGACGATGAAGAAGTTGGTTGTTCAAAAAAAGTTGATCTCGATAACTTTGAAAGTCGAATCAATGCACAAACAATCAAAGTCATACTCAAAGATATTCAGGACAGAAACACTGTTGTCCAAGTCAATCTATAGATCGATTCAATGAGATTAACCATTGGATGGGTAATCCAAAACAGTTAACATGCTTTACAACATGATTTCAATATATTTCAGATGGATTCGTTCGGAAGCCGGATTCAGTCCCACTTCCGTTGTCTCCAGATGTGCCATGAAAAACTTGATTAACAAATGCCACCATTTTTCAAATGTGTTATGACGAGTCTAACAAAATTGCAAAATACTGCTGGATCTTGCGAAATGAGTCACGACTATGTCGAAAAACAGTCATGCTTTGCTTCACATCGGTGTCTAAATGTTTTACTTACTACCTAAATAGAACTCGTCATGACTTATTGGGATCAGATTAGTCTCATCTGGACCTGACAAGCAGAGAGTCTATATATGTTCATGAGACCAGTTCAGTATCATTAGTATTGATCGTATGGTAAGGTAATACTTTCTATCGCTACTCATTGGCCTTGTTTAATAATAGCAACATTGGCTTTGTCAAACGGAATGTCTCTATCAAATGACATAGTAGATGGCTTTGCAATATCAATCAGAACTGGAGTGATACACTTTTGTCTCTGTTCATGAATAACCGGTTTTTGGAAAAATATTGTGAGAGCTGAAAGCGAATTACCATTTTCATTTATTAGGTATCTTATATCTGAATTTATCAAGCGAGCTGAATCACAACTAAATTATGCTCAAACAATGCAGTCTTTACTATCATCAGATTAGATAATTATTGCGATGAAACTATCTGATCTTAGCAGATTGGATGTGTGAAGTAGATTTACATTAGATTTATACCATACAAGACGTATCTCGGCTTACCTCTTGAGATTTTTCTCACTCTAAAATAGTAGATATCTTTCTGTGATAAGAAAAGTGCAATGACAATCAATCACCAAGAAAATAATACTCATAAATAGTGAAGAAAACTTAAATCAATTCGTTTATGACGCTCTTTGGTATGAATGACAGCAGTATCTCTTGATGATAAGGAATAGAGAAAGCTTGAGAGTCTATGGAATTGTGGACTATTACAATCAATTCAAGAGAATTCAAAATAGCCGACTTGATTTATTCTATGTAACGAAAAAAAAATGGCTTGTCTTTATGACTACCGATATTTGCACACGAGAAAAAACCTAACAATAAAATTGAATGGCAAGAGAAAGTTACCTTCGAGAAAACTACTGTGAACTTCAGATGTTTATCCTTTAGATTATCTAGTAGTAAGGTTGATGAGATAGTTATATTATTTATTCAATGTGTTCGACTCATTCTAATCCATAGGTACAAAGTGAAAAGTTCCTATATTATTACAACCTCTGTATTATAATGAGTAAAATTTTCATTAAACAAAAGCATGCCATCTTGGATTTTATTGATCAAACATGTCGTATGACACTTTGAATTTATCGTTTCTCCGATGTGTTCTTGTTCTAATAAGTCATTTTCTCTTTTACCAGTTTATTTCCGCAAAGAAAATACCTTCAATCAGGAACTTTTCAATATCTACAGTTTATATGATCGTCGACTCCAAATATGGCATTATCGACTAAGAGCGTCAACAAATGTGGTTCATTCCATCTCTTCCATTCATAGCAACAACTACGTAGATTAGATATTCGCCTCTAACAGATCCTTCTCATAAATTTGAATTTATATCAATGTTCGATCGATAAAGACTACATTGAAACATAGTAATCGACCCTTCTATCAGCAGTTAATAAATGCAACGGTAAATATAACGACAAACATATCGAACAGACTGTCGAATATGTTGTTCATAATAAGTTCATTCCATTGCCAATAGTTTTCTTGACACTTTCTTCTTTTACGGATTTTATTAGTATCAGAAAGAAGAAAATGTGCACGAATCTTTTCTACCTAGGTTCTCGTGCAAACATGAAACGCCGCAGATCAGCTACACCTAATCATGTTTTGTGCCACAGCCAAACGTTATCAAATGCTTATTGTACGTAAAGATTACAAGAACGCGATTAAACGCGCTCATAGATTAGATGAAATACAAGTAATTGTATCTTGTGAATATGTTCTTGTTTAAAAAACAAACGACACGACGTGCAGTTGAAATAAAGACGTATTTGTGCTATGCAGTCGCACTTCTGAGCGAAATGAAACGCTAGTAAATTTACGTATTTTCATGTGATGATTGTGTTTTATCGTGTCCGAAAATAACTATGCTATTTGTTCAAAGCATCTAGACACGGTTAGAATTTAAATAGATTTAAAGTTGCTTATCGGAAGATACACTCAGAGCTCTAGAGTTTGCTCAAGGCTTAGAAGCGCAAGTTTCATATCACATCTTATATTAATGTAGACGCTCAAGAAGAGAACAACAACCAGAGACGAATGTATCGCAAGTAAATAAGCGCATTTTATTGCATTACCAGTGCGCAGATCACATAAATCCTGTTGAATTCTTATCTTAATAGTTATTACCATCACTGGATATCGCGCTGTCACAAGAGAATAAGTGAAAAACTGCGATAACTTATACAAATACATTACAGGTACTCTGTGATTATGTATACACGTACATGCCTGGCTTGAAATCATCACTATTGCTAGACTCTAGTCGATAGGATGTGAATGTGTGCATTGGTATGAACATGATTGTCGGTGCCGGGGTATGTGTCACCATCAGTACTTCTCCCAGCCAGTCCTACACTCACAATCACAGCAACATCACAAAGCATAATCGTCATCAACATCCCACGCTAGCATATCATCATGGATGCCGACATTCACAGTCATATTCACAATCACACACGCTCCATCCTAAAATAAACTGTTGAAAAAGAAATAATTTATTGAGCTACTTTCCATTCTTAGCACATCTGTAAATGAAATATATGCATGCCTATAATCTTTTACTTATATGTGGAATAAAACGGAGATTGAATTGCTATAATTAGTATCAAATCACACTGAAAATACTTTTATTTAATATGTACATTGATACTTTTTATATTTTCGATATAGACAAAAAAAAATGTGTGATCTAGGAAAGTGCCTAGAACTTGACTTATGAATGTTAACAGTCGTCTCTTTGGTTCTTGACTTCGTAGGGAAATGTCAAAAACATCGAGGATACACAGATGAGATTTCACATGCTATTGTGTAATTCAATATAATCAACAAAAACAACTCTAATCTCAATATTAGTGCCCTTCGACATATTCGATCGACTCGAAACAACGATGGCTGAGTGTCGTTATGATCGGAACGCGTCGAAAGTCGAGTTTCTAACTCAGACATAGAAAGTATCAGTCAGATCGAAGTACGAACTTAGATAATGCATAAGCAATTTGTGTTGCAATCGAGAGCATACATTTCCAATCTGTCATCGATTTGATCGTTAAGCCGCCCGATGTTTTTTTTTATGGTACAACACGCAATTAATGATCAAAATTGGAACACACAAAAAAAAATGTCAAAGCACAACTTTATATAGTATACAAGGATATTTTACACGCAATTGTTAACATAGAATATTTGGGAAGAGCAGAACGACGAAAATAAAATCAATAATAATAGGTCTCGATAGTGATGCAATTAATATTTGTCTTTGCTTTCTAATGTGTCTCAGTTATGGTACTGGTTTTACAAGGTGCATCGAATTTCTTCGCTTAGCAAAAGAATGACGAAAAACCCCATAATCACAGACGTGCTTCAATAGGTGTATATTGACAAGACAGTGGGTAAAAGAGATCGTAAGCTCTCAGATTAAAAAAATCCTATTAGATCCTTCAACTTTGCGACATTATCCGAGTTTCAGCATCCCGTCTACTTCGCCTATCAGAAACTCTGCATTCTTTAACTACTAGCTGTTGGATACCATCGAATTCCAGACGATGTGAATGTGGGTCTTCATTGCACCTGCCCCCCCCCCCCAAATAGCTGCTGTGTAACGGTAACTTTTCACTCCTAGCCTATTCCAAGTGCTGACGAATATCAGACCGATTTTAGACCACTTCCAATTTCAATTGATTCCAATGAATTCTAAGAATTGGAATTGGTGCATACCTAAATGTTATTATGAATTTTTTTTATCATGGCCAAAATATTGTTGATGCTCATTGTGGAAGAAAATACTACTTTTTTCCTAACACATTTCTTTTGTTAAATTTTTATTAGTTGTTCACGATAAATACACCATCAAATTCAGTGTATTTCATACTTTTTCACGATATATAATATGTTCGAATACAAACAAGTTGTATCTATAAAAGCAAAATAATACCAAGGAGAGAGGAGGTGGATTCATTTGACTTCTACCATATCATACATTTATTACAGTAAGAGCTTGAGTTACAAACTTTGGTCCCTCAAAAGACCGCATTGACAAAGCTTTTTTTCTGAAAAATTACTTCTTTTTAACACATTCGTCATATTATTTATGCTGTTTGTTATCAAATATTGCTTAAAATTAATAGTCAAATCGAATATTGTCTTTAACTAAATGAAATATACTTCTGAGTCTATTTCTGTGATAAATTTATGAACAACATGTCTTATTTGTTTTCTACTATGTTTACTGTCGGTTCGATGGTGTAGCGGTTATCACGTCTGCTTTACACGCAGAAGGTCGCGAGTTCAAACCTCGCTCGAACCTTTCATTTTTATTATGTTTTATGTACTAGATTAGAAAGAATATTTTTTTTAGGAAGATATCACTGAAGTTTTATATAGAGTAAATTATAAGTTTTATATCAAATGAAAGCTCGTCTGAACTAGTTTTTATTAGTACTCAATGATAAGGTTTAGGAAAACTTACATATGTTAAACTCCTTGGCTTTATAATATTTTATCAATCACAAGTATGCTTCTCACAACATCTCAAGATTTTAAAGTTACATCAATTGTAGTGGTTAATTAGCGATTCTTCTTCTTTCAGTTTCGATTAATCACCGAAATTGATGCGATTTTGAAACCTTCAGACGTTTGAGAAATATGAAAACACATGGTGACTTATTTTCAACTTTTCTATATTATATCAAACTCACCTTCATACAGTAAACTATGCTAATGGTTGTCACAATGATTATTGATTGTATTCATTTAACAAAGAAAAAATAAACAATTTTGTATCACATTTAGTTCGAAGTTTACATCATAAATAATTTTTCTCATACTTGTGATCGATAAAATATTACAAAGTCCGGAAGTTTAACAATCGAAAGCTTTCATTTGACATTGAGTTGATAATTTACTCTATTTGAAATTCTAGTGATACTTCTCTGGAAAAATATTATTTTTAACTTAATACATATTTATTGTGAAATTTGTTTTTTGTTACAAAGCTTGACGATCTAGAGTGTCTTCGTAGGGTGTTCATGTGGTTTGATATATTAAATAAGAACTTTCATGCCTACATTTATATTTCCGCTCAAACGCATATTCACATTCTGCACCTGCAGCCATTTCACAAGCCACGGTACATCAAAAACTTGACGAAACAGAAACTGACTGAAAAGATTTTTCGTATCAGAAAGCACTGTTGTAGTATTTTTTGGACTCTAAAATTCGATTTTTTTGCTATAAAAATATGGCATGTGAAATCAACATGCAACACTACAATCAATGATGCAGTTGACATTAACACAGTGGCATCAATATCTGGCGAAGTTTCTTCATCCACAATTTATTTTCGTTTATTACTTCCAGAACTACAAAATCATGTTGGTTTTTGAACCGAAATACGAAGGGTGTTTGCTCGAAAAATCTGTCTGTTCAGCATGTTTGCCATCTGATTTTCGTTATATTATATTTAGTAGTATTTTTGATATAAATACATATGTATGTTTTTTGGTTTGATCATTAAAATAATCTCTCTTATTCTTTTGCATTCTTCTTGACATAGTTCACTCGTCCATAACAGAAATATATACAATGCGAACATATTCTGATGACATAGAATGAGTACTTCGATTGTTTTCTCTGTGTTACAAGCAGCTTTTTTGGGTCTTTTCTGACCTGAAAGGTTCTAGAAAAATTTCTTTTTAATAAGCTCGCATGACGAAGAAAAATGTTACATTTGGCGACTTCTCAATGATTTTCGTTTTAAAAACTTTATAACACAAATTATAAGCGTCGAAAATCGAAACTTTTTTGTTGGATAAATTTGAAATCGTATTCAGAAGAGATTTAGCACATCTCTTGTCATTCCCTCTTCTTACACAACAATGTATAGGTGAATTGTATCATATAGAATTCATATTGAAAGAATCGTTGATAAAAATATATTGATTTCAAAATTATAAACAAGTATCTGAAGAACGACGATCGGCTGCGAAAACATTTTCAGATCAAAGATTTGCTAATCAATCAAGAAAATATTCTAAATGAACTTTAAAATTAGACAATTTGCCAAATTTTATGGTAAGTGACTACGTTTCAATTCTGCCTGAGTATTGCTGCTGTAAAGCAATATAGTAATGTAGGTATTGTCTTAGCTATATGTAGAATGTAGCCCACCATGCCAAGCAAATGTTATACAGACAACAGCAACAATAACTTATTCTACTCCACAATTAAATACTACAACAGCTATTGACATTAATTAATCTAAAATAAAAATCGAAATCTCTGAAATGTTTTATCATTAAAAAAAATCATTGATTCATAAAAGAAAATCTTTAAAAAAAATTCTTCAATAATAAACAAACTTACACTATTTGTTTTACTTTATTTGATTATTCTTCTAATCTCTAATTATTATTTGAACAGCTTGAATTTCATTATAATAAAATAGAATAAAAGATTATCATTTTCTTCTAATTAATTTTGTCTGAGAATTTTATATTATGATTTGTATTTGTTAATATCTCGTTCATCAACTAAAATAGAATTAAAAGGAAAAGCATCTTTAGGAATAAATGTTGAGAAAAAAGAAATAACAATTAAAATAATTATTAACTGAGTAGCCACAGTATTAAGAAATACTAATCGTGCATTTCCATTGGTATCATAAACAAAGTCAATATATTTTTCCAAGAATTGTATATAAAATAATAATATAAGAGGAATAAAGAAAAGTAGTAGAGTTTTGTTTTTACTATCAATCTATGCAGAAAGAAAATTTCCTCAAGCCGCCATACAAAATTAAGATTGGATCGCCACTACTTTTGGTATCCCGTAAATATATGAATTCATGAGAGTACAAATTGTATTTGTATTCGCGCATATCTGTCGCACTTCACCGAATGCAAATGTTGTTCCTATCGGCGTGGAATATTATGTTGCGTTGCATTCTGAATTGATAATTCACGCAAGAAAGAAAAAGTATCGTTAGTGATCGACAACTTTTTTTGAACGTTAATTCTTTATGGTTGAAGTTAATCAACAATGGAAATGAGTGTGTATGTGAGTCTTCTCTTCATCCATACTCACACTCCACATCGATCTAATCTTTTGAATTTTTTTCCAAAACCAAAGCAAATAAAAGCAAAATTAACACATGGTATACATCAACAAAATATTTTTCAATATTCTGTTCGATTAATTATGTTACGTATCGAAAGTCAGAATGCTAAAATAAAAAGTGAAAGAGTATAAAAGACGTTCACCTGTCTTTTTCGATCTTACCGCGTCGCATGGTTCTTGTCCACATGTGTTTAATTCATGTGTACGCTGTACTGGAGTCAAATCTTCTCGACGTCGATTTTCATGCCATAGAATGTATTTCAATATCAGCGAAGCAACAAGTATAGCAACCAAAAATCCGAGACTAATTAAATGGCCACGAATAAAATACGGTGCATCTTCCACACGATACATCTAAAAAGAAGCAGCGAACTTGGACTATGATAATTCAACGAAGAAAATTTTCGATATTGCTTAAAAAGATTGCTTGATGAACACTATTCAATAGAAAGCTTTGAATATTTTATGGGGAGCTATATTATGAGATAAGAACATGAAATTCTTTTTCTAGATTAATATACTGTGTCATCTGGAAATGTTTGATAGAAATGATTTTCTAGCTAATCCAATTGAACTCATACAAGGTATCAGTGTAGATTTCGAATCCATATAATACTGATGACAAACATAATTAACGATTTTGCTTGGAAACTACAGTATGTGTGCAATTGAGAAAGTGCATCCTCAGATTAGAAAAAATCAGTTCTTAGCACATACAAACTCTTTGTGAGAGAAAAATGAGCATGCTAACTGATTGGATTAGATCAATTATTTCGTTAAGGTTTAAGTCTGAGTAGACTATCAACTCGAAAGGCGTTGCATCTACATGAGTTTATCTAAATATACATTAGTGGAAAGAATACATGCATGCTTCGTATGGTTTAATGCAGAATGTAGCAGTAGAACAAGGAGAAAACGGAACTTCAGTGTTTCAATTGTAATCAAGCCTTTTAAGTGCCACAGTTTATCGAAGCTTTTCAATCGAATCTATTCATACTTAATAGATACTTCCTAGAGCTTGAATCCATCTGGATATGTTCGAAGTACTGCACTACTGCATAGGGAAATAGCACACTCTGAGCTGCAGACTTGCGAGAGCAGTTTTGGTACTGCTAAATTGTGTGAGTAGCGCTGTCTTTCCTCTTCATATATATCAGGTTATTGCCCCAGGTTAACACTAATGAGGCTTTAAATCGGCTAACATTCAGATCGAATTCAAAACCAGAGATACTGCACGTTCATAGTCAGAAGTTATTTGATGCATATGAGTTTTCCTTGCCAGTACCATGCCTAGCGCAGAAAAGTTCTGGACACAAGCTTGATATTACGGAATCATTACAAATTTACCTCAGGGGTACATTACATGTCCGACCGAGTTACTGAAATACTCTGATGACGCTAGAGCCTGTTATTTTCTCCTTTTATTAGTCAACATCTATGTTACCCTCGCCACATTTAATCCCTAGAACTCGATTCATACAATCGGCAACATATCCAAGAATGAACCGAACCAGAGATTTACAGACGAATCTATGATTACCTGTCCAACAACAATGCCGCTGATATTTCCAAAGCCAATTATAAATCCGGTGGCCACAGCTCGTTTGGTATGACCACAAATATTGTTCGTAAACCAAGAGATAATAAGTGGAATGGATGAGTATGTTCCAACACAAGTAATACACGTTATAATATACAAAATTTTCGAACCGTAATTAGTTAGAGTTACTAATAGAATGTATCCAATGATGCCGATCAATAAGGTTCCAGTCATGTGATAACCACGTTCTTTCAAACGGCCGGCAGAAAATGATACTAATAATGTGAATATACAAGCCATCACGTGCGGTGGAGCACTCATCAACTGCGCTTGGGCATTAGACAAGTTCATTCCTTTACCAATCAATGTTGGCAGAAAGATAATGAGAGAATGAGCAGCTATTGAATTACCCACATAAATAAACATGTATATGTAGACTTTCCAATCCGTAAATACATAGCGAACTTGTCGCCAAGAGAAAATCATTTCCCCATTGTATGACAGGCTCGAATCTCGTCGAAGACGATTTGTCAACAGTACTTTTTCTGCATTTGTCAACCCTATAAAAAATAGTGAAACACAAAGAATGCAGCAAATTTCTAATTTACACTGAACAGTTTCGGGTAAATCTCCCAGAAAAAAGTATGTTATGATGCCCAAGATAACGCATGGAGATCCTTCTAAGATGAAAATCCATTGCCAGCCATTAAGTTTTGTTTGAACTTCTAAGCGACTAATACCATACGCCTACAAGTGTGAAGCAAACAGTTATACAGAGTGAGGCAAGATTGATTATTATACTGACTAAGATACCACCGAAAGCTGCAGACAATAGTACGCCGCAATAGAATATGGCCATTCGAAAGGCATGCTGTTCGCGTATGTACCAAATGGAAAAGTAAAATATGAGCCCTGGAAAAAAGCCAGCTTGCGCTGCTCCCTACAAACATATAGATGAATACAAAATATTCCAAAGCGTTTGAGCCCAATAATTTCATTAGTTTCTTGATGATAGAAGTGAGTTCCGAGATTTTTCTCATAAGGAGACCATAGAGAAATACTGCATGGAACTAAGTACAACCAATTGACTGCATTATGCAAATTCAAGCGTTTTGATTTAGAAAAAAAATTGAATACATTTTGGTTGCTTATTTCCATTTCTTTTCCTACTCTAGCGTGTCAATCGTTCGTTCAAGCCTATAGATGTGTTTAATTCTCTACAACAAGAAAGGTTAATGATATGAAGTGTTTATAGCTGTGAAAAGCTCATCAAGCCGATTCAACTCTTCTATTCAAATGATTATCAAAGGTTTCTTAAGTTACGCAAATATGTCCGATTCCTACATAGTTATAGATTTTGTAACATTTTTTGTCATCTGAAATTTACTGAATTCAGCAAAGTTCATTATTGTTCAAAGATTAGTTATTTGTTAAAGGAATACATGATTAAGAATAGTTATATGTTTTCAACAAGACGGAACATTATCTTATTTTCTAAAAACAGGTCTTACATAGGCAAACGAAAAATTTAATGATCGTTGGGATAGAAGACATGAGTCAATTTGACGAGTTTTTTCGAGTTATCAGACTTCATACTATTCAACTTTTTGTTTTTTGGTCGAGAACTAAACAAATATCAAGAAAATAATGTAGTAATTATTTTTATATTATTCTCTTATGAAAGAATTTCTATTTCTTAAATGGATTGTGTACTGAATAATCTGTTTTGTCTAATTAATGATAACAATAAAAGTCGAAGTTCAAGAAATTTGGCTTTTCGATGACGAAAAACATGTTATTATTATTAGAGGTCTTCAGCATTTTGAAAATGATTTCAAACGACTCATGTAAATATTTAAAAAAAATGATACTATTTGGTAGTCGTATAGAATAAAAATCTAGATTGGAATTTTTGTATTCACCAAAAAAAATCGTGTGACTAGAAGTTCAGCTGCATTTCGTACAAATGCCATTGATACCATGATTAGACCCCAAATGATCATAATAATTGACAGAAATTTCGATGGACCGATGTATCGCATAATCAAATTAGATGGAATTTCGAGAAGCATCTTAACGACATCAGAAAAAAACAGAATATAATATAGTCGAACAATTTTCACTCACAAAACCGATGAAATATATCGATACTGCCCAACTGGATTCCATTTGAGTCAAATTAAGAGCATGTTCAATACCAGCAATTTTGGCATTGCCTCAAAAATAGATTAAAATACTGATTTATATTATTCTGTGAATAAGACATCATATAGTATCCGCCGTACTTACCAATATTAATCCGATTTAAAAATGAGAACAATTCGAGTAGAGTTAAAAATGGTATCAAGCATTTATCCAGTTTCCATAGTAATGCATGTATTGCCTTCTGATTCATTTTATTCGGTATCGCAGCATGATTTCCACGAGGTATCGAGGTTTCATCGGAATCCGCAGGTTGTCGACTATCGACAATAGCACTTATTGTGATAATAGTATCCATTCGATTATACTAGAATACATGTATAATTAATTTTCTACCCAATATTTCATAAACAATTGTCTTCATACACTGTATAACTCAGAAGAAGGAAAGGGCAGAAATAAATAAAAAGGTGAATCACCATCAATATTGAAATAGAACATGCATGCAATAGTGTTTAGATATTGCTTCAATAAAGAATATGCAAAACTGTTTCATTTCATAGTTTCAAAAGAACAGATATGTATAACAGAATCCAAAAATTAGCCTAATAAGAAATAGCTGAGAAGTGATGAAGGTTGATATTGCGTTAATCATTGGTGTCGTTAGGGAGAGTGTTTGGATGGAATATGCTACATCGCATTGCTTTTTGTCTAGTTTTCTAAAATACCAAAACTATCAATTGTGCCTTGCAGAAGTATTTGTCATGATGCTAGAAATATGTATTTGAAAAAAAAAACGCATTTCTAACTGATTAGTTAATAGGTTATTGATGTTCGACGATTTCTTTTTTTAGATGTTGCTCAATATCAACCATTGTCAGACTACAATGATGAATCTGTACGACTATCATTCGGAATTTAAATTGCATCGCTGTATCATTCTCTCCCTAAAAAAATGCTGATAGATAGTCTTTAATGATTTGACGTACTATACCTGTTGAATGTAGGAAAAAACCAAGTGTCAACTATTGCGATTTTTCTTTTCTTGCCTAATGGATATGACGACGCCCTTGCCTTTACTAATTCATCGTGAGTCAATTAATTGCTTTATTAGCGAAGCAGAACATGACAGAGACATGACATGTTATTTATGGCTCTCAATACGGTAGAAGTAGTTATTGATCGAACAAATTTTCATTAAGGCATCTCTCATCGATAATTGTTTGATTTAAAGGTATTTCGTCGACAACTCTTCAAACAGTAACATTTACTAAGTATTCTTTAACAGTCTGTATACGTGTTGTACTGATATTAAATGCCTTATTATAGGATAAAAATAAATAAAAGCATAGTTGCTTTGCAAGTCTAACCGTTATAGTATAGTTGAACCATAAATTTATTTGCAGTGCTTCTATCAATAATACTAATGCTGTTTCTCTATTAAATTTACACTTTTATTATTTCCTAATGCAACAACATATTGAAAAATATTGATATTCCAATACTTATTGCATACGAATCAATACTGAAGGTTGATAAAAATTATGAACATCATGTATCGTGAGCATTTGATTTACTTCAATATTTAGTAGATCTGACTTCACTTTCAGTTTTGTTCAATAGATTGACAATTGCTACAACAATACTTGTCAACAGAAACAAGTGTAGCAAATAAATCTATATACTGCATACATCATCAAATCACTTACATGAACGCACAGGAGTATTATTAATGTGAAAAAGATAGAAAAATCATTTTTTTGTATTATTTTTCATGTTTTCCATTTTGTGTTAACAAATTAACAGAATTATTTTGTTAGATATCATATATCTGTAACTGAATACGAATGATATTGTAAGATTTGAAAGATACAGAAGAATCGGTTCATCATTAGAATTGAGAGATAAGTGTAGTGACATTGTATGTGTGCTTACAGTGCAACTATGTGTTTATTTTTTAATACTATACAAGAATGTATAATATATATGTGGGGATATGGGATTATGGGTGTGAGTGCGAGTTTTAGTCTTCGTTTTCCTCCCATTCCCACACCAGCCAGATATAGCATGAATTTTAATGAGAATTTGTTTAGCATCTCTGGCAAGAGTATTTGCTGATGATGTGAACCGTTTTTTTTTAAATAATTCATACTTTCTCTTGCATCACACGAAGAGAGCACTTTATTTTTCTCAGATCATGAACATGTGAAAAGAAATCGATCGAAAGAGTGACTTGCAGAAGGACAAAAGCGACTTGGTATAAGTGATAGATATCATATTTACATCATAAGATCCACAACCAGGATGGCTGAAGCGAATGGACAAAGAGTAAAGCAGTATTCATTCATACCCTGATTCACAACTAGTCCATTCACACGCCTAAATAGAGTACCAGAAAACGCGCATACTGGCTATTCCTCCATAGCGCTGTATCATTATACGGACATATCGCTGTATCGCCAAACACGTCTCCTTCGTTCGCACTGGTGTTCTGAATTTCGACTTTATGAAAAATTTAAATATCCCAAGATCTTTTTCTGGATAATTAATTTGAGCGACACTCTTATTGATTAAGATATTTCTTGCGCTCTTGAACCTCATCACTAGAAATCTCAATTAGAGATTAACTTTGATACAAAAATTTTCAATAAAAATTCTTTTTTTTATACGATCTATTTCAATGGAAAGATGAAAAAAATGACGTGGTTTTGGAAAGCCAATATCGATCCTTGGTCGTCGAATGAGGCAGAAGAATGGATTCCATTTGCAGATATTATTAGCGGTCAAATCGAACAAGCCTATCAAGGTCAACAATCAGAAGTGATGATCAGTGAAAACTATAAAATTGATTTGAACAGACTTTTACAAGTCGATATTCATGATTTTGATAAACAACGACCAATTCGACGATGTTCCAAGACAGGAGATATTGTCGCTTTTTATCGTCGCCAACGATTCAATTTTGCCCAGCCTATCCGACGTTCTATGACCGATGATACACTCGACTATGGATGCAACTTTATTACTGATTGGTTGATCCTATTCACAAAAGGCACATTGAAATTTAAGACATCTTCGTTGATCGCGGCTCTCATCTCTGGTATACTCGTTGAAGGCGAAAAACAGAACCATCTTGTTGCAGCTCAATCTTTGATAGAAGAAATTCAATCGATAAAAAAAAAGACAATCGGAAAGTTGCAACGCTGTTGTGCTCGACTGTACACTAAACCTTGTTTCTTATTCAGATCGGTGAATAGAACATTGCGTGATGATGATCGCTCAAAGTTGGACACACTTGGTCCATTCTGCTATTTGGTGTTTAATTATATCAACATACGACACAATGAATATTTATCCATACGCAATCAATTGAAACGATTTATAAAAAGAACAGATAATACGTCAGAAATAACTGTTTATCGCGGTGAAACACTGTCACATGATGATATTGAAATGTATCGAAAAGCAGCGGGGAAAGGTGATTTCTACAAATGGTTGTCATTTGTATCCACATCTCGATCACGCGATGTTGCTGAAAAGTTTGGAGCCAATGTTTTGCACATTATCACAATTAGACGATTCTCATCCAACGATCAATACACAGATCTACAATCGATTGCATATTGTAAAGACGAAGAAGAAATTCTACTACGACCAGGTGTTCGATTCAAAGTTGATGATGCTTATGACGATCCAAACAGTGAACGATGTATATTTCATATCCAAATTGAACCGTCATTCATTTCGAACTTGATGTAGAAAAAAGAATTTATTTTTTAAGAAGAAAAGAAGACGTTTACTCCTAAAACATAATCCAGAGAGAACGATATCCTATTCAGCATGATTTATTTCTGTTCTATCGGAAAGCCTGTCATGATGTGAATCTAGGTTGAAAGACATAAATCTTGCAAAGAAACTTTTCCAATATTCTATTTCAGAAGATTCAGCTGATGGATACACGTAGACATTCCTCATTAAACCAAAGTCACTTTTCATACCGAACAATGTTTTGAATCAAGTGCACTGCCACATCACGACGATGAATTCAGTTTGGAAAAACAGATAAAATCTACTCGAAGTAAAATATGCTATAGTAAAGGCTCAATGAAACAAATCTGAATATAGAGGAAACGTAACAGTACAAAAATACCCACAATTGCTGCTTCGTAAAGGAGAAAATGTTTTTGGTCTGTTTGTTTTTTATATGATAATCATGAGTTTGAATGACATATATCTATGAAAATAATGAACGACGGCATCCTTGTAAAAACGTCATTTTGCCTTCTCTTGATCCACCTATAATCACAAGGCGAAAGTAAGTTTTTTTTTGCAGTTTAGCATATGAATTTTTCTCGTTCGATGAAGAAAATTAATAGGGTGAAGTTTTGAGGGTGTGGGTGTGAGTATAGTACAATTATACCCGCACACCCACACTCAAAATTAATTTTACTTTGAAAAAAAAGTTTGTTTATTCTTTGATCAAATAAATTAGTTTTGACATTCGAAAGATATTTACATCATTTAAGAATTTCATTAATTTATAAAATCTTATACTCAAAATTTATGTATTTAACTGCGGAAAGTTTTAGGTATGTTTGACAGAGCGTGAAGAAAATACGATGCACTTCATAAACAATCACAGATCGTCACCAAACAGTCCCGATCTCAATGTTCTGGATTACTATGTGTGAGACACTATCACCAATAACATGCAATGAAATAAAGTTAGAAGCTGTGATTTATTAATTGATGAAATAAGAGAAGAAATTCATCGTGAAACAATAAAATAACTTATTCCCAGGATATGGTGTCCATTCAGCGAAAAACATTTGAGCGAAAGACTTTTCAGTGAAAAAAAAACCGAGAAAGTGCACTCATCGAAGGTGCATAACAGCGAAAAGTAAAATTGGGAAAGTCAAATTATCGAAAAATGGGAATAGCGAAAACAAACATGGCGAAAGACATTTCAGCGAGTTTTTTTTCCTTCATGAGGTTTGATTGTTTATGTTTAACGGTAACTCATCGTCATGGGTCTGTATGTAAGTGGTAGCGCTTGTTCGTTCTGCTCTTTCCGACCAATTGATGTATTTTTTTTTTATTTTTTTTTTTCAATATATATTTTTCCGTATGTGATACTGTGACGTTGATACGTACCTTATTCATTTTTTTCCATTCAGCTAGCCAAGGGTGTGGGGTGAGTTGTACAAAGAAATCTAAGATCGTCCATACTCACACACCATACCCTTCTTATAACTCGATCTTTACGTATTACACTTCTCTGTTTCTTAAATCTGATTCAATGTTATTTTCTATTTGGTTAAAAATAAATATTTCGCTATTTACCTTTCGCTTATTTTTTCTTCGCTGTTTCCTATTCGTTGAAAACTTTTTGTTGAAAAACCTTTCGCTGATTTTCACCCACACCATTCCCAGCATTCAAATTTGGTCACAGAAAGTTTTGTCTATTTTGAAAAGTAAAGCTATATATATATATATATAAAATAAGCTTTGTATTGTAGATTAAAGAGCTTTTCACTTTGTATCTTGTGGTATATTTTATTTTTTAATAAAGTCAAATTTATTAGATGAAAAAAAAAAAACAAATAAAATACAAAACGTGCCATTCCATTATGGCCCATCTGTTTATTTTATTTCTTTTTGTCTCCATATTGAGTTTATTATTTCTAAAAAAGATTTACTAATTAGTTCTATCATCATAGTATATGAAAAGAAAGAAAAAAAAAATTATTTCTGTTTGTCTCATCAACGTCTACGACATAAAGTAAGTCAGTAAATATTATTTTTACATAGATAGCCTACTCCTTTTTTTTCCCATTCTGTTCTCTCATATTTTTTAGAATAAACATTTTTGTATGTTTCTTATTTGCTCAAGGTGTGTTTACAAAAAAACATATGTTGAGTCTGATAGAGATTTTGTTTTACAAAGAATGAAATAATGTAATAAATTTTTTGAAATCTTTTGAATTAAATTGTATGGTAAAGGAAACAAGAAATAAAAAAACATTCTTGTACAAAAAAGCATATCTGTAAAAGTGTTGATCCTGTTTCAATTCTATTTTTCTACAATGTTTTAGAAATGTCAACCGAGAAAACAAGTTTAAGGCGATATATTGAGGAACTTTCTTCGAAAAATACTGATTATAAATTTCCTAAACAAGCAATTAATCAAGCAGAATCATTAAAATCTTTATCCAGTGATTTATACACAGATAATATACGATTTATTTATGAATTAATACAAAATGCTGATGACGCTGAAGCGAAAAATGTTATTCTAGCAATTATTGATAACAACTATTTAATGATCGCTCATAATGGTAAACAATGCAGTTTAATATTTTTTTGACTTCTATACGGAAAAACCCTTTTGAAACGGATAATTTCAAATGTCTACTTCTCTGTCCACTATCTGCGTATAGAAAACACTCTATTGTCAATCTAAGTACCCAATACGAAATGAACAAGTAGTAACAATAGCAGATACAAGTATTTTCCATATGAAACATGCATATTAATAAATGTCGTACATAGTTGTACATGATCGTCGTAGGCTAAACTTTGCAAATCTTTCAAGAAAAGAGACCAGCACAACTGCAACAATTGAAGAAGAATACTGTTTCTTGAAAGTATCAGAACGTAATATTTGTCATACTTTATTCGTTTAGTTTCTTTTTTTCTGTGTAATATATTTATTTTAAATTTTTTCTTTTCCTCTGCATATAAATCTATTCAACGACGATGCCACATATTCAGTACAAAACATCGTACTATTCGAAACTGACAGTTTGAAAGCTGTAAATCGTAAAACATAGAAATAAATTTAATATAAAAACAGGCTTAACACAGGAATGTACGATAGAGAGTTTAGATTAAGATAACAGATGTATAATAGAGGCTAAAATAATCATCGACTTTTTTGTCAAAGTGAATTCATCAACTAATGAAAACTTCACAATAAGACCATATTCTCTTCACAAAGTGAATTTTATGGATAAGTCTTTCAGCTTTCGAATAATACATTTGAATGACAATAAAACTTTACTCTTACAAGCCTATGTAAAAGAAAATAATCGAAAAGTCTATGAGAAATAATTAATCGATATGTGCGAGATGAATGTGCAAATGTTTCCTGCAATCTTTTCTAAAATATAAATTGACGAAATATCATCTTCAATCTGTCAATTTTCACACTCAAATATTGATCAAAGGTATACATTTTTTACGAAAATCATATGCTTAATCTTCGTTTTCTAACTCTCATCTACATTCTGCCGACAATCGAATTGATCCTATATGCATTAGATTCATTCGACTCAATGCAAAACAGATGAAATCATTTGATCAAATTTATGCATGACATTATCTGTTTATCTCTAGTCTATCAGTAGGATGAACAAAGGAGGAATTTATACAATATTTTTGTATAGGAAAAGTATTCGACGAAAAGGATATACAAGGTTTATGTGATGTTAATAATGGAACAAAAAAGAAAGATTCCGATAAAACAGGTTACAAAGATTTAGGATTCAAAGCGGTTTTTGGAAAATCCGATAAAGTCATTATTTATTCAAATGGAGAATATTTTCGATTTTATTTTTCTTATCAAATCAAATAGAATAAACAATGGGGAACCGAAGATCAACAAAAATGGGAAAAAGAAAATGATCGACAATTTATTTATCCGTGGCAAATTAATCCTGTGTGGACAAACGAAAATGAAATTCCAAATTGTATAAAAGATATTCTTAGTTCATATAAAAAACAAATTCATGTAGCTAATTTTATTTTATTAAATCATGTTGAAGAAATCCATTTGGCTATTGAACAGTTAAAGCAACAACTCTATATGTTTCTTTTCCTAAGAAATATTTCTGAAATGAAATTTTTTATTAAATCAACTGATACAATATTAATAGCACGTGATTTAAATTATGGTTTAAAACGAGTATATTTTAATCAAAAGATTGTTTCATCATGGTTAATAAAACGTTTTCAATTAAATGTTCCAAATGATGTACAAGAAAAATTGAATAAAGATTCCAAGACTCCAGAAAAATTACGTTTTATAAAAAAAGCTGAAATGTTTTTCCTTGCGAAATATAGAGATTCAATAACTGATCAAGATGGAATAGTTATCAATCCTGGTGGTATAGAAAAATTACGTGATCAAGATTCAATTCTCTTTTCTTATTTGCCAACAAAAATTTTTGAATATAAATTTCCCGTTTTAATAAATGCTAATTTTTTAACAAATGCAAATCGAGAGCAAATACACACAGGTAAAAACTTGTCGTAGTTACTTTTGACAATTGTTTATACATTAATTTTGCATAAATTCTTTTTGGAATCAATGGTTATTTGACACAATAGGCAGTGAAATATTTCAATGGATAAAAGAATTAGTTATAGATGATAAATTTCAATTTCAAGCTTACCGACTTATTCCATTGAAATTAAATTTAACAAATAATATTTTATCAAAACAATTCAATGAATCGTTTGAGATGGCTATTACACAGTGTAATTTTATTCTCAATAGAAACAATCAATTATTAAAAGTAAGCTTTAAAAGAAAAGTTTTTGTCAATTAAAAATATTAGAATCATTTCACATCTCTAGCTATTGAAAATGATAGGAGAGTTCAGCAGTTTTTGTAGTTTAGAAATCGTACCTACAAGACAAAAAAACATTGAAAAATGCATTATACATATACACTCAAAGGGAAAATAACGCACTCCCGTATTCCTGAAGTATAAAAGTGCAGTGCGACTACAATGAGAGTGGTGTAGAAGTACGTGAAGTATAGTAAGAGAACAGTGGGAATACGAGAGTATAATGGGATTACGTGAAGTACAAGTGTACACCGTTATCTTCTCGAATTTAGGTCTAAATTTTTCTTAGTTCTAAAACTGTACTTTCTGCACTTCCGGAATCTAGAGAATACATGGTTTTCCCTTGCATACACTTGAGCATAAATATGTATTCAAATCATGGGACTCTGAATATAGTTGACTGTAAGCGTTTTGTTAATAAAATGATTTTTAGGTTGATGAAGTTATTATGGATTCAACATCAATGTCTAAACAAACATCTTTTATTTCAATCTATTCAATGCGTCAATATATCATTGACCACTATAAAGATAGTGTTTTTAAATGTGCTGATCAATCATTTATTGATTACAATTCAAACTTACATCGAGTAGGTGTTAGACAATTTACTTGGCACAATTGTATTGAAATGTTTAAATCGGATATTTTTCTCAAAACGCATTCAATTGAACAAAATAAACGAATGATTGAATATTTTTATAGCAAATGCTCAAAGCTTGGGGTAGCGTCGGAACTTGCAATACACATTGAACAAATTCCATTTTTAATGAATCAAAATAATCGTTTACGATTATGCAAAGATATATTTTTTCCCGCTGAAACAATTGGAGATAATACAACAATTGATTCTAATGATTTATTTGTTAATAAAATAATATTTGATTGGTTAAATGAAATTGCACCTGAAGAAATAAAAGAATGGTTACAAAAATTGGGTGTTATCGAACGAACTGATTTAACATATTTATATAAAACAATTATTCCAAATGCTTCTATTTATATTACAAAACAAAATGCAATAAAAACAATAGAAATGTTATTTAGATTATTTGAAAAGAATGCTATTAGTAAAAAAGATCTTGATCAATTGAAAAAATTAAAATTAATGACAACACGTCAAACATTAATACCAGCTGAGCGATGTTTTTTTTTCTGATCAATACAAACCACGATTATCATTGGAAGAATACTTAAAGACAAAAGAAGATAAGTTTTTATCCTTTGACTATGTAACAAATAGTATTTACAGAAGAAAAAACGAAGATTTAGTCGAATGACGACGATTTTTCACTATGTTAGGTGTTCAAGAAGAACTTGATTCAATCGAATTCGAGCGAAAGTTGACTGTTTATGAGGCAATTCAACAAGGTTTACATTCAGAGTATTTGTCAAGAGTTTCGCCAAATGGATGTCATGAAGTTTATGCTTATTCTGGATTGATAACAATTATTTTCTTTTCTTTTAATTTATTTGTAGAAATTGTTCCAGAAGTAACGTCTTTTATGGCATTGCCGTCTGTGTCAAACGAATATGCTTCTGTTATTAAAGATCAAGAAACAAAAATGAATGAAAACACGAGTCTCTTACAAAATATAAAAAAATCCATTTTTCATCCAGCAAATGAGAAATGCACTATCAGTCCTTCAACTGATATTAAACATGAGCACAAAGGATTATTGTGTCATCATCACGACTCTCTTCACGGTAATTATATCCCTCAACAAAAATAAAAATTAGACAAACATGATTTGAAGAATTTGCATTTATAATCATTTCATTGGACGATTTCTGTTACCTAATTATGATTTAATCTCGATCAAATAATCTTTTAATTCAGAATACAATTCTGCTATGATACATATAAGTACAATATTTAACTGAAAAAAAAAGAATATACTATATTATCTCACTGATGAATTTATAGTGCGAAAAATTTTTCAAAACAGTTTTTGCTAATACTTTTCTTAAATTGAAAAGAAGGTAACAACTTAGGAAAACAAAATAATGTTCTTCTATCATCTATAAAAGTAATCACAGAAATTATATTTAATAATATAAAGAAGCTATTTTATTAAACATTTTTTGAGTAATTTTCTTTACAAATTCAATTGTAGAATCAACTGAAGAAATGGGTACAACTATGAATAAACTGATTAGATCATTATCATCTGCTGCATTTGAATCAGATGATGAACAAGTTGATGATATTCAATCAATTGACATATCATCAATATCAATATCAAGTTCAATATTAATGAAAAATCCACTGAGTCGAATTGGAGAATATAACGATTCAGATTTAAATATAGGTATTATTGGTGAACAAATTATTTATGAATATTTGTCAAAGAAATATCATTATCAATCAGATTCAGTTTCTATTAAATGGGAAAATCGACATGGAGAATCTCATTTGCCATATGATATTTTATTAACTAAACATGGAAAAAAGCATTATATTGAAGTGAAATTAACTCGAACATATAATCAACATTGATTTCCATTATCATTTAATCAAATTGAAGCTATTTTACAATATCGTGAAAATTATTTTATTTATCGTGTTTATCTAAAAGATAATAAATCAATCATTTTAAATAATATTCAAAGGCGATTAAAAAAACAACAATTGTCTTGTTTTTTAACCATCCAATCACCATCATCATATCAATTCATTTATACAGACAACTAAAAATCTTTTCTCAACACATTTATTCTTGAAATAAAGCTTTTTTTCTATAAGAAAACTCTTTTTAATCATTACTTATCTTCATGTATGAAAAACTTAAATGATTTATATGACATTCAAAATATCTTTCTATTTTATCACAGAATAAGAAGTTTGTTTTTTTTGTCTTAGCTTAACAAAAATATAAATTTATATTCTTTCTACTATGTCTACACATTGATATATAATGAATTTAATTAAACAATTTGTTAGTTTTTTTATTAGACTAATATATAGAACTAAGAGAAGAGATGATTTGTTATCTGATAAGACTTTTGCACGTTTCTAAATGTTTTTGTTTGGATATATTTGGATTTGGAATAGATCTTTTCGAAGGCATTGAGCAAACATTATTCCAATTAAGCAATAAATAAGGGATGATAGGCAACATGACTAGTCTAATATGTCCACGATACTTGTCAAGTCTAGTCCAATACATCTTCTGTATCTGTCATAACTAGTTACTTTGACGAGAAATGTCCTACAACCATGCCTGCACTAATCCAGAACGTTCTTGAACCCCATTAGGTTTGACCAAGTTTCTTTAGCTACCCAGTCAAGAGTAATCCAACGCTTGATCTGAGTGATAATATTGCACCATAAGCATTTATATACAAGTAACGCGACGCGGTCATCGCTAACCTCTACTGAAAGGATTTAGGCTAGTTCATAATGTAAGATAAGAAGAGGAATGCTAGACGATTTATGTTAAAATATACATGGCGAACAGCAACATGAAATATGGTCACCTTAGTAACAATGTTACTAGGTTGAGTGAAACAAGTTACTACTACGTAGTTAGCGTTAATAGTAATCTAATAGTGACTATTGATCTAGACGTGTCTGAATCAAATCTTGATGTTTTAAATATAGTTTTGGAAAAGTCAAGAAAGTAATACAATCACAATGGTCATCTGATAAAAATGCATGTGCACTCAACAGTTTATGAAATGATTAAAGCATTTACTCGTGTTGACTTATTTCGATACCGAATAATTTACATTGGATTTTGATACGTTTATTACTAATTTTTCTATTCACCTTTTCAATTTCTCCTTCAAGAATATACCGTTTTCTTTTGAATTTTGATTGAATGCATCTACTTTCATCGTACAATCTTATGCTATTAGAAAGCCAGGTTTCATTAATGTGCAGCACTGTCCTTTAGACATCCTACTGTAGCTGTTCTTGATGGAAATGAAGTAAATTTCATTAAAAAGTTCGATTTTTATCAATCTGATAACTTTTTTCTCTTCTCTATGCTCTAGCTGATTATTCGTTAAAAGTATTGCTGATAGAGTCTCATTTGAACAGCAAAAAGTCAAAACAACAATACTACACAATTTTTCAATCGTATTTATTAGTGTAATACATTGTTGTTAGTAGCTTTTTATTCGAACAAACTATTATAACCATCTAATGATAGGTACACAAATTTAATTTGTTCTTCTGAAGGCCTTCATTTCTAATGGATGACATTAATTTCATTATATAGATTTCGATTTTCAATACTAATTTAAGTTCTCTATGTGAGCTTTTTTTCAATATCTTCATATTAACTAGTACAAGAATTTATATTTATCTTCCCAGGTCTATAGATACGGCTATTCGTATTTTCACCGTAATTTGCTTCATACGGCACCGTAAACGGACCGTATTTTCTCGTAATCATGGGCACAGTAATACGGCACCGTATACGAGGCCGTATTTTCACAGTATACAGCCGTAT